CCACCAACCGCCGGACGCCAACCGCCGTCGCAAAAAAACGGAGACCATAACAATATGTCACCACTTTTGGTGGTGACATAAAAATCATAAAGACCAGAGCGAAATCTAATTCACATATTTTAGTCTGGGCACATTGACAACTATTAAGCATTTTATATCGGTAAGAGTGAAATAAAGTCCTCAGAAGTTCTTTAAGCTAAGAAATGTGCCACGGCTTATTAAGTTTGAGCCAGTGAAGTCAGGAATATATATAATCAGGTTTCTCATGAGACTATCCCGGGGCACTGGCATCCCATGTCTCTAGTTTGTATAGTACATTCGAAATGACATTTTACAGCAATGACAAAGGCATTTAAATTATTTACCAAATGCGGGTGTTGTTCTATATAATAGCGAAAGACTGATCATAAATTTTTAATTGTCCTACGTTGTGACATACGATATGTTTATTGAATTTGAACAGTGATACACGGTTCTGTTCATTCTGCCCAACAATGGAGTATAAAGAGTGTTTTAAAGATGATATCCTTTGCATTTTATGCCAAGTAAACACTAGCTTCGTCGACCGTGATATCTTGAATAATCCGGTCAGTATCAGCGAACCCATGAATGAAGTTTTAATACAGCGACATGACTCCAATGGCCTTTAAAATATTAGGATACAACCTAGAAAAGGTTGATGCGACCACAGATACCGGAATTTAAAGGTGACAATCACGCCAAAAATGATATTTTTCTTACATGGAACATGATTTTGTTTACTGATACGGTACTTGCGTCGCCTGCTTCTACTTTGATGTCTTATGGTGATCGATGATCCCACTAGTCGGGTTATTTAAGCGTAAAAAAATTATAAAAATTCATATTTCTGTACAAAATCTCACATTTCTCCTTAAAACGAACTCTGTATTGTTGATTTGCATGTGTCGTAAGATTCTTCGTTATACCATTGAAAGCATAACAACGAATTTTCAAGAAATTGATACCGTCACGGAACATAATGAGTCGACCTCTCTCAAACGCACATAATTGAATATTTCGATGAAACTTTTTAAGGGATATATAATTAGAAATAGATTCGTATTTTAATTGAAGTAAATTTGTACTTACCAAGGGAATGACGAAGGTCTGAGCAGTTAGGCAAATGTTCCTTTTTCCCATATGGATCATCCAAAACATAGTTTAGTCCTCTTTGTCTTATCTTCGTGAATTGATAAATCAGGAAGACAATGTTAAATAAACTACACATTAAAATTAATTTAAGTGGACTCCGAACAGAAAGTCGTGTCATCATCAAAATTGAACTCAAAGCACTCAATCCGCACAGCGAAGCTCCTATCAAAATCAATAACAAATAGCCATGTATATTCCATATTTCGTCGCATGAGAATAACTTTGTACTATCTCACATTTTTACGGAACTGAGAAATCAAGGTTTGAAAGTTTAGAGGTCTGTATCTTACTTAGTATTGCTATGTGAAACTTGATTTTTTGTATGTCACCTGGTCTCACCCTAGAGATATCTCATATGAAATATCATACCTTGAAACAATTTACAAGATCCTTTTTTAAAACTATGGAAATGGAGTTGATACAATTTCCCACCGGAATAACAGCTTATTTCTAATTTCAAATTGTCATATCTGATATCAACTGTTTCAACCAATCAACTCTCTAAGAATTGGTCATGTGACTTGCAAAACTTGGAGTTATAACAATCCTATATTAAAGCAAAGTATGCCAATATGCATGTTATTGTATCTAGAATAAAAAATAATGTTTTGTTTTGTAAAAAAATCTTCAAAAACCAAAGAATATTATTTAATAAAATAAAGAAAATTCAATTTATTAAACTTTAAAATCAATTTCTCAAATAAGTACAATTATTTCTTAATTTGGGAATCTCAGGACACCCTTCAAAAAGAATTTATTGCCTTTGAAACTAAGGCAGAAGTACAATGCATTGAAACCAATGATGCCAATACGGTCCCCCACATATTTCCCTCGGTATAAACCCTGTAGCCTAAACCTCCCAGCACATTACAATGTAGCCCCTAAGGGCCGGTCCGCTGGTCATTATCAGGTTATTTTTGATACAGACCAGTTGATTTTTTCACTGGGTATAGGAGAATAACATTGCAACTGGTCCGTAATTCCATTTTGACCAGCAGGTTTCAGATCCTTAGGGCCTAAGACATATCCAATTTATATTACGTGCACATGGAGAAGAAATTTGAAAATAGAAAAATAATTTCTAATTCAGTTAAGATTAATGAAAGTGATGAAACCTCGATTTAGGTAATCACATTTTGTTCTTTGGGATGCAGCTATCATTATCCATTCATTTTCTGTTGTTTGCTACTCTGTGGAGTACAATTGGGAATTGAAGCAATCGTAGAAGTGGAGACTAAGAGTGGCTCTTTGTAAAGAAATTGAACCAATTTGTTACTTTTCCAAAATAAAATGTAGATGATCTAAAAACAATGATCCCAAAAATGCAAAAGAAAGCACAAATCTGAAAAACATACTCGTAATAAAATAACTAAAAAGATCCCAGATGTTCAGTGAAAACCAGTCAAAAGTACCCTTTATCTTCCCTGCTACCAGGTCTTATGGGGGTTTGAATTGCAAAATGCAATAGAAATGCATATACGAAGCTGTCATCATTAAATGTTGAAAATGAAAGACTACTTATTTGTTTCTTCAAATAGAGTACATAATAATAGGTTATACAAGGGGCGATCCATATATTCTGATAAAAATGCTCTCATTTTGTGATTTTTTCACATATCCATCTCATTTTTTCAGAACTTGAAGATTATGTAATTACACATACAATGCTTAAATATTATAGCTATATCTTAAATAATTTTTGAGATAAGGTTGCCATGGTAACCTGTATTTAGGGTAGGCAGGTCAGTTAAATTATAACGAATAAAATAGATAAATTTGTTAATTTAATCATTCCTCGGTACCTATTTCAAGCAGATCAAACGCATATCCAGGTCAATGCCAACTATTCCTTGAACTGCTCCATACCCCTGTTACCTTTGTTTGCTATTTCCACAGTGGAATAGTTTTTTTTTCATAAATTGCATCTCAAATTATCGTAGTGTTATTCTCTGTCCGCAAGCTCTTCTTGCAAACAGATTGGGAATGATATTCAACAGTGAGTAGCCTTCCTCAAATTTACAATACTATGAGAGATCCTTAGAGCAGACATAACACCTTGTCCATACACTATATGAGTCCATGTATGCCTCTGCCAGTGTCCTCTTACTTATTCTTGATAGTACATAAAATCTAATGGTACCCCTAATGTATCTGTTAATGTCACACTCTGCTGCAGCCGCACTAACCTCATCTGATCGGTCATTTTGAAATTTAGTGTGTCTCATGACATGTAATTCCAATTTGCCCATCATGTCATACATTGCTATTGTAAGTTGTTGTGATGTGATCACAAATAAACATTTGTTTAGCAACAAACAACGAGAAACAATACAAAACTTTTTTAAGAAAAAATGAATATGATTTCCACATGCTTTAAAATAATTAAAATAACAAGTTATTATGATATTTTATACGTTATAATTTAATTGACCTGCCTACCCTTAATACAGGTTACCATGGTAACCCTATCTCTTAATTAATTTAAGATGTAGCTATAATATTTGGGCATTGTATGTGTACTTACATAATCTACATTTTCTGAAAATATGAGATGGATATGTGAAAAAATAGCAAAATGAGAGCATTTTTATCAGAATATATGGATCGCCCCTTGTATAACCTATTATTATGTACTCTATTTGAAGAAACAAATAAGTAGTCTTTCATTTTCAACATTTAATGATGACAGCTTCGTATATGCATTTCTATTGCATTTGGCAATTCAAACCCCCATAAGACCTGGTAGCAGGGAAGATAAAGGGTGCTTTTGACTGCTCACATGATCTAATTAACTGGTCATTTGTACTTTTCATCTTCCCTGGTAGCAAGGATTTAGGTTTTCGAGGAAATTAGTAATTCTATTTCATATCATGTGGCTATGAATAATCCAATGAGCATCCATAATACAAAGAGTAATTGAGGGCATATAATTTGAATATGCATGGGATTACACATACTGTATCATTTTATTTTTTTGATCTACTTGTAATAGTTCTAAAATTAAAACATGAAAGGCCAGGCATGCAAACTGGCATGGTATTGTGTTACAAAACATTATTTCATTCTAGATACAATAACATGCATATTGGCATACTTCGTTTTAATATAAGATTGTTATAACTCCAAGTTTTACAAGTCACATGACCAATTCTTAGAGAGTTGATTGGTTGAAACAGTTGATATCAGATATGACAATTTGAAATTAGAAATAAGCTGTTTGTCTGGAGATGGTACAATTTCACACGGAATTCTAGCTTAATGAGAGGGAATTGAGATGGGGCATGTATCTGAGATGAAAGCCTGTGTTTCAAATAGTAAAATTCCATGTCTATCTCAATTTTTTTGAAAATGGCAGTTAGTACAAAGTTATTCTCACGCGACGATTTATTATTACTCAGATTTGATGTTTATCTCTGAAATGATAACAATAGCATTGTTTTATTCATTGAGATTTTCGTGGCCTTTTGGTTTGGAAAACGAGTTATTGTTTGTGATATGTTTCGTTGGTATTTAGATGTGATTAGCTTTAACTTTTTTATTTTTTTTTATTTCGAGTGGTTTTATGTTTTATTTATGTCAACTTATGTCCGCAATATTATGTTATCAATAATTGGATATAATTATTGTTTTCTATATAATTACAAACATACATAAAATGATCAGATGAACAAATGCATGTGACATAATACACCTAGCAAGATTGGTGTATGGGGTAAATCCCCAAATTAGGTGCCATGAAATGGTATTATGTAATTCCCACAGATAAGAATTGTGCGCATCTGCAATCGCATTCGTTTCATGAATTTTAAATGTTTTTATTTAGACAGGGTAAATTATTGTCACGGTGTCCAACCCAAACGCTCTTATTTGGCCTTTTTGAGACCCTTTATGGGTATGCATGTGTAATAAAGTTCATAAATCTAAAATCTAAATCTACACATCATCGTTCAATATAGTAGTCGAGTTTTCCATTGTCCATATATTGTTGGAGTTTTCTAATTTGTCTGGTTTGGGAGAATTTTCATACTTATCGATATAGTAGTGGTCGATACTTTTGCCAATACCACCATTTGCCTGTAAAATCAAATGTTAACTTGTAGAAGGCAATATATTATTTATTTGACCACATTATTAGTATAACAAATGCGAGGAACAAGTTCTATCAACCCCGTTAGTAAGTATGTCAAAGCGCCAGTATGTAACAGAATTACTCTCTGACACCGGATTTCCACGTATATTTGGGTCGCAAAGAAGCTACATCTCAGCAGTTTAATGAAATCGAACCAGTGACAAAACTTATTGAAATATTCTCATCTATACTGCTTAACGATTGACACTAAGCTGCATAATTATCTTTAGATTGGTTAGTTTTTTTGTTTTCGTATTTTGATTTTGATTTCATATTAATATTAGATGTAAATGATTATCCTGTTATTTTATTTGTGGAAAACCAACAATTCTTAATCCGGTTAACAAAACATGAGGATGGCGATTTTAAAAAATAAGTCGCTTGAATCATCAACGTGTAAACAAGTCAAACAATCAACCATACACGTTTAACTTTACCCGTGGTGTAGCACAATTACCTTGGATGGAACAAATAACGCATATGCGAGTAGACAGTTACCAGTTTCACCACCAGGTGGCTCGTTCGGGTCAGATAACATGGCGGGTGAAAAGTTCCATTTAACTTAAACTATATCTGCTTTAGTGGTTCAATTTTCAAACTACCCTATCTATTAGTTATACAAATTAAAATATGTCCAGTAAAAGAAAATGTTATCTCTCCAATACAAGGAAAGATATTTCACTTTTTGTGATTTTGTAACATAGGGTTATGGGGAATCGACCCGAACTAGAAGTCACATTTTCAAAGTTGACAAACAACTTTCGAAAATATATTTCTAGATGTACATTTTCATATAGATTTCAAATATGACATCATTTTGACTGAATTTGGAAATTTAATGACGTAAATCAAGATTATTTTTGCTCGCATCTAGTCTAAATGAGTTATATTTATTTACTCGGGTTTAGCTATTACGAATAAGAACTAACATGAATGATTACATTGTACATATTAAGAACCCTTTTTTGTCAAAATACATACTAATTTGTTCCACGCCTTTATCCTTTGCGGACGAGGCAACCAACACAAAAGAAGGTCAGGCCATGATAAATACGTATTTTTGTCGACGTCATCCGCTGACGAAAAACCTGTGTACATAAAGTGATGACATCATAAATCAAGATTAACATAATACAATATCAAAAAAAGAGTCAGCAGATGTAAAGGGATAACAAGCAACATGTACAACTGACCTCCGAAAACATTTCTTACAAAATTAAATATCATATATTCCAAAGGATCTGCGATATATTATCATTTACGAAAAATGGGGAGAATTTTTACGTTCTTCCAAATGATAAATGTGGTCAACAAATGTATAAAAATGGATAGTATTATCATAATTATAAAAATTCCTAGTTTTTCTCGAACAAATTAGGTACTGTGGAATTTTTCAGAAAAGAGACACAAGTAGCCTTGCCCAAGTCGGTATTTTTTACTTATCTGATCTTGTGAGACACAAGATACATGTATGATATGAGCCAAAAATATTGTAAAACTTGAACAATTTTCGATAAAAGATTCTTCGGTCTATTCGATACTACCTGTTTATTAGTTATTGAATTTCAAATATACCATCCTTCATTTTCCCCGAGATGACATCATCTGATATTCTAAAAAAAGATTCATTGTCATGGGCCAAATTTCGAGTCATTCGAGAATCAGGTTGACTGTATCTTACCTGTCAAAAGGCTGACCAAAATACCGACAACGAAACAAGTTCCAATACCAAGGGGATTAAACCAAACATATGATATGGAATAGAGCCTATCTAGTGGTCTGAAAATAAAAATGGACGCTCTTTATAATACAGCATGACTGTTCTACAGCATGACTGTTCCACAGAATGACTTTTCTACAGCATGACTGTTCTACAGCATGACTGTTCTTCAGCATGACTTTTCTACAGCATGACTGTTCTACAGCATGACTTTTCTACAGCATGACTTTTCTACAGCATGCCTTTTCTACAGCATGCCTTTTCTACAGCATGACTTTTCTACAGCATGCCTTTTCTTCAGCATGACTTTTCTACAGCATGACTGTTCTACAGCATGACTTTTCTACAGCATGCCTTTTCTACAGCATGCCTTTTCTACAGCATGACTTTTCTACAGTATGCCTTTTCTACAGCATCAAAAGAAATCATGGTTTTCTATCGGTTCCATTCTAGAAACATACTTCTAGTTGAAAAACAGCATTTCAATGTATTGAGTAATACTGTAGTATTTTCACTTCAAACGTATATTGCATCGTCGGTTCCCACGCTCAATCACTACGTTCTATCCTGCGGATAGGTCCGAAGCTTGATGAAGCAAAATGCGTACATGTACATGTACATGAATATGTGACATTACAGTGATTACTGCCCCCCTTCGAGTGTTTTCTCCAGTAACCATATGACATAATAAAAAGGTGGCACTTTTAATATGAAAGAATTTTTCTAATACATAAATGGTAATTTACGTGAAAGCTAATATACGTATACGTATTTCCTATACAATAAGATATACCTGGTTGTCGGCTGTTCTTTTGGTTTGGACGTGGAAACGGTAAAAATTGAGGTAATGCCTTGATCCAAATATCCATCAACGGGAGTAGTATACAAGGTAGGAATCGCTGTTATGCTGTCGTTCATATATGCATCGGTTGTGTTGTAAGATAATGGAGTACATCCACTGATTGGTGTCTGATGTAGATTGAAGCTCGGCTTCATTGTAAAAGAACCGATTGCTATCCAGAGAACAAATGCAAGACCGACCCATGTTCCGACAACCGCGCCCTAAGAACAGAGAGCAACGTTTTACAAATGGGATTATATTCGCACGATAATAAAGCTTGCATTTTTATGCGAAATGCCATGAACAAGTAAAATTCTTAAATGGTTAATTCAATTTCAAAGCTCAAAATATTTTACTTCTGTCGTTAAATACATAAATGCTAAACTTTCGCATTTCGTCTTGTGTAATGTCCCCGGGTATTATTCGAACTCTGATCACCTTCCAGTTACACCTTCTTGTAAATACTCCCAATATGTACATTCCAGCAGTGCTTCCCCCACATGCCGATCCTAGCGATATGATCACCTAAAATATCGATGCCAGACGATAAACATTACGATCTGGCATTGGCCCCTACCCGAAGCCATCTTGTTTATGACGCGTTGTAATTTGATAAACGATTGTTATATTTTGAAAATAAATAAATTTACAAATCAAAACTTACATGTAAGTACGCTAAACAGCATTTTGAGAAAACTGCACGAAAATGTGTCAAGGAAACAAAATTTCTTATTGATCAATGTATCGATCCATTACTCACTTGTAAAAGCTGTCCTGGTATTTTGTAAGCAATGAGAGCGATGGCCGTTGATAAGATAGACACAACCATAACTAGAATGAGAAAGTTATTGCAATACAGGATATATTCTGCTCGAGAAATTCCATATTGGAACGAGACGAAGTCGAGTGCCAATACAGAATATCGAGACAGAATATATCCGGATCCTGTATTGCACTTCAAATCATTCAATAACGTTTTTATCGTGTGATCCTCTGTATTGCTACTGAGATCGTCCCCTCCGTACCAATATTTTCTGTATTGCGACGGAGATGATCAACGGGAACAATCTAAGTAGCAATACAGATTGGTACAGCACAAGAACTGACCAATCAGATCAGAGGGCTTCATTTTACAGATCATACGATAAAGCCAAATATTGCATAGTCTAACTACAAGCCTCTGTGACCCCCCCCCTATACTTGGCCAAACGCCTTCTCACACAGACTTGTTCATAGAGTAAATACTGCATATCGTTTACTGTAATTGATAAACTATGATGAGTCTTGGGTATCAGGACAAATAATATAGCCATGGGCAAATACAGGCAAAACACAAAATTTGATGTATGACAAACACAGAATTACTTCACTTCGTTTTGGTAATTCAATGGAAACCATTTTAGATATTCGAGCTGTTTGCAACATTTCAGTATGTATCCGCATGCGCTAGTATTTACCAAATGTCTTATACCTCGAAATGTCCAACGTCAAATGTACTTATTTTTCCACTACATACCTAAGAATTTTGTGCATGCCGTTGCCTGGGATTCAGACATAGGACGACATTTACTTATCCAATCCACCCACATCGTTGTTGCAACACTATTTGAAAAGGATGATACTGTACTAAAAAAAATAATGAAAAATGATTTGAAGATGTTTAACTGTGAAAATGTAAATGAAAAATAATCCTAAAAGATATGTTAATTGACTCTAAAAATATATTACAAGAAGACGTAACGAGAATCACGATTAAATCCTCTTTTCACACATGAAGAAGTGAAATGAAAAATAATCTAAAGATATGAGTAACTCTGAAATATAAAAAAAATATTTCAATTCAATATATTGATTTGAATTCTTTCCCTCATGCTAACCTACCTCAATGCTGCGGATATGATTGTTGCCAGAAAAATCCCCGGGATACCTGGAACTCTCCCAAATACATCAAGTATGTAATACGGCAATAGCTGAAACATAGAATACATAATAGGAAAGAAACCAAAAGTCCCCTATGCTTTAAGCCCATAGCCTATAGTCCATAGTCCATAATCTGCAATAGCATATACATAGAGTCAGAAAAAAGAATCCCCTCTGTTTTATACCCTTATCCAATACATGCCTTGCCCAAGTCGGCATTTTTACTTATCCTGATCTTGAATTATTACCGCCTTGTACAATCTAATGCATCATCGCTGATATTATGATAAGTTATTCAGCGGTTTCGAGATTTCCATAATTCCCACGCTGTCAGGGGTATTTCGAAACCTTATTGATTAGCAGATCGCGTGGGCACGAAAAACTCATCGACCATCTGCCTATAAGTGTGGGTGTAAACCTGTTTAACCTCACCGATGCAAAACTAACTCACACACTTCTAGGTAGTAGGTCACACTGGCGGATCTGGGGGGGGCCCAGGGGCCCGGGCCCCCCCCCTTGGGTGGGCCCAGAAAAAAAAAATTGTGCCCAAAAAAAATTTTGAGCCAAAAAAGGCATAAAGGCCCCAAAAAGTAGGCCTTTTTGGTCATAAATGGGCCTTCTAAGACCTTATTTTTTAATTTTAGGCCAAATCTTGAAGAAAATGGGCCTCAAAATTTCAAAATTTGGGCCCACTTTTTGGTTTTAGGGGCCCAAAAATTTTTTCCGCGCAAGCGCGGTCGTTTTTTTCTCAGACCAGAAGTTTGGGCCACCCCCTTGTTGGTTCCCAGATCCGCCCCTGGGTCAGAGTTGTTCATGGATGATTTGATGTTTGAGCAATTCATAATAGTGTGTGGCGTAGGCCTGTTTGACATTAAAGGTTTCTTTAGGTTTCCTTCATCATAAACAGTGTAAATAAAACATCCGAAGAACATGCTTCTGTAAATATGTTGAATCTCTTCTTTATACTTTTAACCTTTGTTAATTATGTTATTTAATTTGATGTACATTTTTATGCTCTCCCCAACACGAAGGAAATAAAGAAACATAAACATTGGAATCTGAGCAGTTATTAATATAAATTAAATCATGCGATTCAATGTTGATTTAAAACTGAATTCGCGATGAAATTGCACGAAGACCTACGGTAGTAGTCGTCGATCTAATTCAGTGATTGATCTGAATCTCGGCCTAGATCTAGCTCGTTCGACAATTTCAGCGATGTTTTCAACCCCGGTTTTCAACGTTTCTTGTTGAAATGTTCTCACCTTTGGATATCCGAACGATGCTCTGGCATCCAGTTTAAACTCTGATTGATATTTATCTGATAAAATATTTGTATCTTTATGATGAATTGTGCTAGATTTGCGAGAGGATTTGTTCTTGAAAAGTGTACTTGATTTGACCGTGCATAATAATAAGCTACATGTAAGTTAGCTAACGCTGCAGAGCCGTTGTTGATTGGTCAAATTTACCGACATAAACATAGGTCGGTTAAGCACGTGGCTTTCTCATTGGTACAAGGCGGTCATCAAGAAAAGGCGGAAATCAAGATAAGTAAAAGAGACCGACCTTGGGTAAGGCTAATTTAAATAATATCCTTACAATCTGGCCCTGTTGATGGTTGGAAGTGATGAATAGCGTTGCACTGACGTCTGCAGGGGACCATACATTGCAAGAGATTGTCCCATCAAGCCTAAGGTTAAGCCCCAAAATGTGTGTCTTGTCCTCGGATCGGGGTCAAAACTTCATATAAAAGTAGAGAATATAAATTGTTGTTGAAAATATTCAAATAAACCTCGTATTATTTCTAAATTGATACAGGGGTAGTTAAAACATCTAGGCTAGAACCAGCTGAATTTTGAAAAGACAAGTATTTCTTATCAGCTATTTAACTCACTCGGGGGATTGAATTCTGCCCCAATATCTGCACAGTGCCCAGACTTTTGTTATACCTCCTACCTCCATACAACCCTGCAACACACAGTGCCATCTTTTATTCTAATAAGTAATTAGTTTTCATGGTTTAAATTAACAAAATGGTCTTGACACTATAAGCGAAGTTGTAGTATTATGAACTACTGGGTAAACATTAAACATACATACCATAACTATGGCAACTATAAGTCCAATAAAGATAATTAGAAACTGAAACGTGTCAGCCCAAACAACTGCTTTGATGCAGTCATGTCATACAATTAAACATGGTTAACATTTGGGAATCCGGGGATTGTGGGGTGGTTATGATCTGATTTGAACAACGGCAATATCAAACTTGAAGTTTTCCTTTCTCTTACTCTAGACCAGAGTTCAAACATGACTACAACTTTTTCTTTTTATTTATAATATTATTTCAATGGCTGTGCCATACTGACATTACTAGCCATGTCTTTATATATATTAGAATGACATAATATGATACAAATGATATACACATATGCTTGTATATAGATAGATCAAAAATACAATATTAAACAATTCCTGTGCATGTGTGCGACTAAAAAGGGCTGTTCAATAGGCCGTATAGTATTCTATCTTTGGCTGCAACTTTAATGAAAATTTATAGAGATGGCCCTCATCGTTGATTGATCAAATGACAAATGGTTCAATGAAAATATAATGGCGGATTCAAAATTTTGTAAAAACGTTTCGAATGATATAATGTTTATTTATACTTCATAACTTCTCAATCAAGGTAACAGTAATAAAGTAGTTGGTGTGTCTAGGGCTATCTCGTAGCCGTTTATTATTTTTTATTATACTGTAAATATATACATATTTATTACATAATGTAGTTTTTTATATGAACAATACAAATATAATAGTGTTTACATATTATATGATATTACATAATCTAACAATGCAAACATGATATTACCTAATATTGAGTATATTACATAACATTACATAATATTACCTAATGTTTTTAGATGGTTGACTAAAAAAAAGTCATCGGTAAGTGACTTTCATTGATTTAGATAGAGGTATAAGAGGAGTACTCATATGCCATCTATGTTTACTCGCCTGACTGGTAAAGAGGTTAACATACAATGCGAGAGACATCTATAATAAGTTACCTAAAATAACTGCAGAATGTTCATTATTGGAGGTTGTTAGCGGGGAGGATGGCGGCAAATTAAGTTTTCTTTAATATTCAAAGTATTGAAGTTAGGTATACATGTATTTGGCTAACTGATTGTTTAAACATATAATATGAAGCCTTGACGTGCGCACAGTTTGCTAGCAGTTCAATGAATGACCAGTGAAGGGACCATGTGATGGCTACTTGCTAAGATATGGTAACCCTAGACACAGGCGAAAGTGAAACTAAGTAATTGATTGGATAATTACTCTGTATAAAATTATTTAAGTCTCCTTGCGCTTGCCTTAAATTTAATTTATACTTCATAACTTCTCAATCAAGGTAACAGTAATAAAGTAGTTGGTGTGTCTAGGGCTATCTCGTAGCCGTTTATTATTTTTTATTATACTGTAAATATATACATATTTATTACATAATGTAGTTTTTTATATGAACAATACAAATATAATAGTGTTTACATATTATATGATATTACATAATCTAACAATGCAAACATGATATTACCTAATATTGAGTATATTACATAACATTACATAATATTACCTAATGTTTTTAGATGGTTGACTAAAAAAGGCCACCGGTTTTGTAAAAACGTTTCGAATGATATAATGTTTATTTCTGGCGTATACATGTATAATATATAGAGGATATCCTATGATTTATGAGTGATATGATTTTTATCCACGAATGGATATGATATCTGCACGAGCGAGCGTAGCGAGAGAGTGTAGATATCAATATCCATGAGTGGATTGAAATCATATCACGAGTAAATCATAGGATGTTCTTTTTATTCCATAGTTAAAGTCATCATCAGAATCGTCGGAAATTAAGTTATCTAATTCGAATTTCCAAACGATCCGGCGATGTTGACACTTAGCCTCGTTTTGAGTCTGAAGTAGCAAAAATCCATAAACCATCGCATACGACGTCGTATGTCATGGCTAAAAAACCGTATGTTATGGTTAAGTGAAAATTTGTCAAAAATATCATATTTTACCACTGATTACAAAAATACCGTTTTTATTTTCACATGTTATCCTATGAATATCATGCTAACTATGGAATAAAGCTTGTTATTTCACGTCAAGATAAAGAAAGGTGTAAAGAATACATCGATTAAAATATAACATCGACGTGTGGCATTCAGACACTAGATGGTGGAAATATAATTCGGACAAACGAAGGTGGTAAGTAAGAGACGTGATTTTGAGGTCATCTCTGAGCCTTGGGGTTTTCCCTAGAGCCCTTGCTCTTTGTGTAGGTCTAGGGATATATACATTCTTAATATAAAATAAAACAAATTACACAAACAAATATTTAACTACATCTTGTTTGATTGCATAGGGTTTACATAGCGTACACATGTACATGTCTAGATCATGTATAAAGAGTACCATGTGTTACACTGAACGAAACAAGTGCACTTACTACAGTCGTGTATATTGTTGCCAAGGCCGACAGGATCAAGATCGACGCCCATATGGGAAGTCCGGTTGCTGAAATATATAAAATATGAGATCTACATAGATCCTAACATGATCTTTCAAACACAGAGAGGTGTATAGTAAAAACGATTGGGTTCCTCGGGGGAGATGACAATTTCTAAAGTCAACTTTTTAGAATTTTAGAAGAAAAATATTTTTCATGCAAGCAGGTATGAAATCACACAAAATGGTTCAAATCCAATTTACGAAACGAAACGAAGTGATACTGTGTTTGCCAAACGTAAATTGCTGTCTCTACATGCAATTCCACAAGTCGCAATTCTTGATCGGTAAAGGTTGCCTTGATAAATATCATTTTGACATCTGTCATTTTGACATCGGGTGCGCCTAATGCAGTTGTAATGTTAGTCAAATAAATCCGAGCGTCGTATGCTGTTATTTATTGTTATTTTTTCTTATTTGGATATTTATTCTTTCTTTTTTTGCATACTTCGGTCGAACACACTAGGTTGATCTATATTGCGAGAAATGCTTTCCTGGCCTGTCTACCCAACCAAATTATTCACACAAATGATAAATTAATTTCTTTGCTTCAACTATAAAGTATTAAATCTTACTTAGGCACGTAAAACGCTTGGTAATTGAAGAAAATATAAGCATGCTGCTTGAATTTTAAAATTTTCTCAGTTTGCATACCAAGGTCACTTCCGGGTTAATGTGATAGTCTAAATGGAAAAGCTCAGCGTTTACATTTAGACTTCCGGAAACAACATTTAGCAACATGGCCGGCGATACTGAAAATATACTTCAATTGATTATATTTCGTCAATTATCAAGCGTTTTACATGTCTAAGGTAAGATTTAACACTTTGATGTTGGAGCAAAATAATAAATCGATAATTTGTGTGACTTTGGTTGGTTTGGTATGGATACCCAGAAAGGCCAGGAAAGCGTTTCCAGCAATTTGTTCCATATTATATCTACGACCGTATATGCCAAGAAAATGATAAAAAATAAATATCCAAATAATAACAAGGAACATCGAAAAACAGCATACAACTGTCGGATTTATATGACTATTGTAATGTCATACCTATCTTCAGCACCAATGATGGGCCATAAAGAGTTAAGCCATTCACTGTCACCTGAAATGCAGTTTATAGTAAATTATGAACACATGGTATCAAAAAACGACATCCCCTCTGTGTAGAAAACGATAATGACGGTGTTAAGTGTAATACAGCGAGTCATTTATTAGCATAATGAAAGTTATTAGTGAAACACTGCCGGATTGTTTCTTAAAAAAGATAACTGCACAAATGCAACTGAAATAGAGAAGTTGTGCATGCATTTTTCATGATAAAGCACGCACTTTGCGATAAATTGCGATCGCTTGAATTAAAAGTATTATTAGAAACAATACTAGATACTGTATGAGTGGTAATTTTGCCTAATCATTTAATTTGCCTATTTCCTGATTTTTGCCAGGTTCGGAAAATTAAATGTCGGAAATATTGTCTTTATAATGTTATCCAATGGGAGGTTTCTTGTCATTAGGAAAATTAAAATTAGGAAAATGATGAAATTTGACCATTCGGAAAATTAACCACTCGGATTAAATACCACTTATACAGTATCTTGACGTACATCATATATGCTGTACCCGTATATGTGCTTGTATTAATTTTACACATCTATTTTTGAAATGGCTATTGTCAGGAAATTGGCAAATAGAATATTTATATAAACCTGTATGTTTGAATTGATAGTTTAATATATGAGATTCTTGATTACCATTGTAATGCTCATAGTGATCATGGCCGTCTGTCGCGCCATTTTAGACTTAAATCTCAGCTCGAGGTACTGCAAATAAATGAAAAAAAACTTAAAAATGAATAAGTGCAGTTTGAAAAAAAACAAAAAAACATTTTTTAACTAAAAAGTAATTCAAAGTCTAGATTTAGAACACTGTGGCTAGTCGATCTATGTGGATGCAGTCAGGCACATGTAATGTTTCGTGAGTACCCGCCTCTGTACTTTTCAATGGAAGAATTTTGCACTTCTGTTTAAATAATCTATATTTACTCATCCGTGTATATCATACTTCATTGATTTACAAAACCAAAGCTACGCTATAAACACACATTCTCTGATATTTTTACGGAGAATAGATAACTCAAACGAGTTCACTCGACCAGTTTTATCATCTCGCTCATAGCTGTGAGAAGGTATGTATAATTTGCCATAGGTTTACCTTGTAATGGGGAATAAAAAATTCAAGTAATATAATTATTTCACATACACAAATATGTCTGTGTGAAGTAAAATACAAATACAATGCGTTCTATAATATTTTTGGAGTTATGGTATGAAATATCAGCTTTAAAAAAGCAATTTAATTATGATGTATCATGTGGATTAGTAGACGTTCTGATTGGATTCATTGAACAGACTGGCTAGGTTTCAATTGAATCATTTTGAATGTGTGTATTTTTAATATTTTAATCCACAGTGTCCGAAAACAATAATAATGCTATTTTAGTAATTGGAAAAATTCCACTTACCACGATTTCAAAAATTGTAAATAGATAATACTATTCTTGAATGATGGTCATTTGTTTCAAGGAATCTGGAGGCTCGTTCAGCTGAGCTGACAAAATCATCAAGATTTACGGATGGTCCATCTGTTGGCTGCTCATTGTCACCTTCAAGGAATGTTAATGGCTCTGAAACTGGTAGCCTTGCCCAAGTCGGTATTTATTTACTTATCTGATCTTGAATTATTACCACCTTGTACAATTCAATGTATCATCGCTGATATTATGCTTATTCAGCGGTTCCGAGATTCCCATAATACCTAGGCTACCTAAGGGTATCGCAAAACCATATTGATTGACAATATGGACATGGACACAACGTGTGACTTCAGGCTGATTGACCAATCAAAACGTTATCAGGTTGACCTGCATAAAAAAGCAAACTACCCGTCTAGGACTTGAAATCCAATGATCTGATCGAGTGTTTCTTGAGAGTTACAATATATTATGTTACTAAATGTACATTGGAATGTAAGCAGTCATTAATACTCGTCTAAATGAAATCATGCAATTCAATGTTGATTCAAAATCAAAACTGAATTCGCGATGGGAATGCACGAAGACCTAGTCAGGCAATGTAGGGCCGTCGTTGATTTGTCAAATTTTACCGACAAAAACATTGGGTCGGTAAAGCACATGGCTTTCTCTTGGGTACAAGGCAGTCATAATAGAAATCAAGATAAGTCAAATAGACCGACTTTGGCAAGGCTATGAACCTTGATTTGTGGGTATTCCAGTGGGTCGATGGGTCTTTTGCTCTGAATTCACTTCATTAGCGTACCTAATTTCAACATTTTCATTGTCATCATTACATGTTATGGACCCGTTTTTCAAATTAACAGTATCAGCGATAAAACCATAGTTTTTGGGATCGACCAGGCGTCCGTCCGTTGGTCCGTCCGTCCGTCCGTTGGTCCGTCTGTCTGTCAACATTGGTTGCACAAATTAAAACTGCTATTCGGATTGAGTCATTTCCACATTCATTTTATGCATATCCATAATGTCTATTTGACCTATCATCGCCATTTCCCAAGTTCGCCCGGTTTCCGAGAAATTGCTGATTTTTAAATTTCGAGAAAAATCGATCTGATGATAGCCTTATAGACAGTCAAGAGAAGTGAAGAAAAGATTGAAAAATACCAGTCCAGTCCATTTCCAGGTCCAAGTCAAGGTCCAGTTCAGGTCCAAGTCCAGATCTGGGTGTAATCAGGTTTAAACCAGGTCAAAGGTCAAGAACTAGGTCAAATCCAGTACTTTGTCATTTTTTCAATTTTCTCAGTCGTCCTTGAATATTTTTGCTCCGTTTTTTTAATCATGTTCCTTGGAAAAAAGCTAATCCCTACAGGCAAGTTGTTTTTGATCACTCTTACCGTTTTTGAGATATGGCATCCGAAAAGTAGGTCACAATAAAAAGTTCTTGGAATTCAATGTATAATAATAATGCAAACCAGATTTTGATCCGACTTCCGGTTCGGAAGTTGTGGCATTTTGAAATCTCAAAAATCGCTATTTTGGTATCCCATGTTAAGTCAATGGGGCTTGAGAAAATTATCAATTGTAACAACACAACACTAGATACAGCTTGGATGCAGCCAACTTAATAAGAATCTACAATAGAAGCCATCTCTCAAAATCTACTTTCCTTCAAAATTTGGACACTAAAAGGCCTAGGTCAAAATCTAGGTCAAATTCATAGTTTTTCTTTTGACTACAACAAATCATATCTGAACCAACAACAAAGGACTCATCTTTAATTGATCTCATATTTACCAATACTTTTGTTTGTAAATCAGGATATACATTCCTTCCTCTGTAGGTTCTACACTGTGTGAGCACAGGACCGTGGGTCCTTTATTTCATCTGTAATGGCATTTTCCAGTTGATGGGTTTATATATAGTATTTTCAATTTTTCATGAGGGTGCCTTTAGACTACTTGTAATGGGGTGGCTAATTACTTTACTGAATGAGGAATGTTTATCCAAACAATGGATACAAAGAAAATCTGGCCAGTTGTCCATCAGTAAATAAATCATCATGATAAAAGTATAATTTATTAAAGCATCCATTTGTTACCGTTCTGAATCCAAATGATACATAGGTGCATCCATTTTATACATATATGTTGACGTTTACGAAATGTTTTTCAAATATCTTCCCTATAACAGGAATATGGTAGCTGAAACTTTCACACATTATCATACTATGTATATTGAATATATGTGCAAGATTTCAAGTCACAATGTTAAGTAGAAAATCTGAGAACACTTACCTCGATTTGCTGTCATATTTTTGCAATGATCCCATTCCCTATAATGTACGCGAGTACCCACGATACATTACATATAAATGACTGCATCCACATAGATCGACTAGCCACAGTGTTAGAAATCAAAACTGCCTGGCATACCTTGATTACATTGAATAAGATTGGAGGCAATATAAAACGTTTAGAAGCCCTTTGATTTATATAATAGTCTTATCCAATGTTATCAAAATAATGAATGTGAAACTTTTCAATTTAATTTCAAAGAGTTGATTTGAAGGAATTCTTGTCCGAAAAATTGTGATTTTTTCAAATCAGATTCTAGTTGTAAAGCACTATATTATTAAGCAATTACGCATTACGATCATCCTAACTCATTTTGTGTTAAAAAATAGAAATTGTTTGACAAAAGCAAGGAATGAACTCATAAGCGCAGCAAAGTGGTCAAGAGGAAACAATAGTTCCCATCGACATCAGTGGTACATACATATTTAAAAGATGATAAAAACTTATTTTCAACCTAAACAATTTTAAATGAAATATGAAATGTTTAGATTCATGAACTGAAGGAAATCAGAAGCATTGGAAATTGAAAGGAGTTTAAAGACGCCATTAAGTTGCAACTATTTGATTGGTTATAGAATGGTGATGACGTCACCAGAATATGCATAATTTTTAGTAGTACGACTCTAGCTTCACAGCAAAGAAACACCTACCCAGCGCATAACACTCACTTCAGCAGGTTTAAATGTATGAAAAAAGAAAAGCGAAATAAGTATATTTATCCCATACTTGGACGTGTTACATGTACATAAAGCCGGTTTGTAAAAACTTATATTTTCATCAGTGGGCATATATAAGGGTTATGTACTGGGAGGTTTTGGATATGGAGTTTATCCAGAGGGAGATATGCATATCTACCTGAGGGACCGTAGGGTCTGAAGGTAGATGTGCATATCTCACGAGGGATGAACCCACTATCAAAACCGACCGTACATAACTGCTTTATCCTATACCAAGTAGAGTTTCCAGGGGCATATGGCCATTTTAATAGTACAAGGTGTAAGAATAAACAAATCATTTATATGCAAAGTCATTTTATTGCATTTTCACTACTTACCGGAAGCGGGAAGATATGCACCGAAGCGGGAAGATATGCACTGAAGCGGGAGATATGGCGGGAGATACGGAGGTTCTGGATATGGAAACCTCAAAATCAGATACGGGATATATCTTACCAACTTATCTCCCTAAAACTCTACTTGTCATAGGATAAATAGCTTTATCCCATACTTGGACGTGTTGCAGGTACATAAAGCCAGTTTGTAAAAACTTATATTTTCATCAGCGGTCAGATATAGCTTTACGTCCCGCTCCGAGTGGGCAGAAATAGTGTATATATACTATATCTGCCCGCTACGTCATAATCACCGCTCGCAAATTTGTTCATAATCTGCGGCCCTCGGGCAAATATATTATATTGGCCTCGGGATAATCCCAATATCCTGAACCTCATATAGGATAATCTCTATTTACGTCCCGCTCCGAGCAGGAAGATATAGTATATCTGCCTGCTACGTCATAATCGCCGCTCGCATATTTGTTGATAATTTGTAAAGTTCGCGTAATGACTGTAAACGACAATGGAGAAAACACAGACAATCGGGATCTGTTTGATGGTTTCAAAAAGGAGGGGGGCATAAATAATCAAAAATTCGAGAAAATAAATATGGGAATATTTGACAGAAAAGAAAATCCGCCAACGGCCAAGAAAACAAAACTGGACATGAATATTCTAAAATATTTCCACGATTGAACAAAGTGACCAGATAACCAAGATTGGTATGGGATAAACGTATTATCCTATAGTCGGTTCAGGGTATTGGGATTATCCCTTGGCCAATATAATATATTTTCCATCGGGACCTGCGGCCCTCGGGCAGATATACTAGATATATTGCGAACGGAATGAACGTAGCTGCAACTTTCTAAGGTCTATTTACGAACTTTATGAACGTTCTCAGACGGGAATGTGACTTTAGAATTTTGAATCGATTCAAAATTCGATGCCGACCATACCGTTCTGTAATCAGGTCATGTTGACCTTCTAGAATAAGGGACGCGTTCTACGACGTTGCACACCGACGTGGTGCGACCTGAACGAACTGCGAACGAGATGGACGTATTGAAGACTGTTTAAGAACGAAGAAGCTAATTATTTCAGACATATTTCCCGACCACAGCCAGATTGAACCCGTTTTACGACGTTTTCGTAGGACTGGCAAGAACGGGTAAGAACTAGTTTGGTGTGATAGGGGGGTTAGAATAAAGATACGTGTCATAAATCATAGAATTGAAATATCCGTTACGATTCTAGTATATAAATACGCCATTGTGACAAACATAATGGAATAAACTAACCATACACACCCCTCCATAAGTTTGGCAACTATTAAACAAACAAACAAACAAACAAACAATAGACATGCCCTGATAACTGATCCAAAAGGGAACTTCCAGTTGCCATATGTGCAGAGGGAAGTGTACATACCCCATTATCGATCAAATACGGGGTCAATGATGTGAAACTATTTCTAAGTTCACCGCGCCTTACTGGTACTTTTGAGGTTTACGTGTACCTTTCCTGCAAAACAATTATTATCGGACCGTTAATGTTTTATAGATTTAACAAACGCATTTTAAAGTTCAAATATAACTTTATTTATTAGTATTTGAGGTTATAGAATCTTATTTTAAAATTCAATTTTGAAATGTTTTTTTGCGATTTTTACGATTTAAAAATAAAAATCAACAATTATTTTCAAAGTAAAAAAATAAATAAATAAAATGTGTCCCTTTAAAGCTTTGCTTTAAGGTTCCACCAAACTTCAGAACAGAGAGAAAGCGTGGCAAACAACAATGTGTTTACCGAAGTCATAACTCAAATGTTATACGTTAAATAAAATCAATCAAGACTGCACTGGTGATCCGCTCGATTACGCTGGTCGGTTCGTTTCGGTAACAAAATGTCGGAACGTCGAAGGTACGATTTTTCTTTTTTCCTTATTTCACACGTTGTAGGCAGAATCCCCACTAGGTTTTTCTCACAAACGTGTATCAGTACCATATGTTTTAGAAAATATACACGTGTGCAAAAAATAGCTCAGAAGACAACAGAATCGTCGATTTAATTCTTCACTTAAGTTACATAAACGGTCTGGGTTAAATGTGCAGATCTTAACTGTTTTTCGAAATACCGTTTATGTAACTAGTGAGGAATAAAATCGACGATTCTGTTGTCTTCTGAATTATTTGTTCGCAAATATGTACATTTTCTTGAACATATGACACAGATACACGTTAGTGATAAAAATGTCATGGGAATTCTGCCTACAACGTGTGAAATAAGGAAAAAAGAAAAATCACACCTTCGATGTTCCGACATTTTGTTACCGAGCGAAACGAGCCGTTTCGGTAACCAGCGTAATCGAGTGGATCACCAGTGGACTGGGTTTGATGACTTAACAGGTACTTGATTTGTGTGTAAATCACAAATAAGCCAGGTTAATAACCGATCCCTTTGTCGAAATCGCGAATTAAACGAGAGGTGCCTTAATTCGATTAACTTCGCTTCTTTAATAAAAGAGAACTTCATCTACAGTAAGTTTGGAACTCCGCGCTCAGGATATACAAAGACCTAACTAACGTAAACCTAGCAAATCATTGGAGTACTTTTATAGATCAGATATAACAATGAATAACGAAAGAGCATGTATGTCATATCTAAATCTACGAAAACAATTTAAAAAATGGCGTTGGATTATTGCTGGGTTCTACGGAACGATGCTGTTCATTATGTTCATAGTTGAGGACCCGTTTGGACCGAAAGCGAATGTCTTACAACAACAGAACGCTAATCCCGTTGTCGTCAAGCAAATGGATTCCGGGGAAAAAATACGTGAAGCGGGTAACCGGACACAGGATGCGTACGACAATATTCTGGAAAAATACAAGAACTACATAAGGACACATAACATTACAGTTACAATGTTCACAACGTTCGCAGATCGAGAAGAGTCAAGATATGTCATTCAAAACAACACATTGTTAAACTGGCTTCATCTCCAAAACGTTAATTTTAAACTGGTTCTTTTTGGAAACGAGAGAGCGATAGCAGAGTACCACCTACAACATATAGAGAGCTTCAAAAAGCGACTTCATTTGCGAGAGACTCCAGATTCTAGCCGAGAGAATGCGGATTTGTATAAAGGAAATGTTCCTGATGTGGAACCGGTATGCATACTTTCAACACAGTTCAACAAAATATACAAGACCTACAAAGATCACACACATAGGGATCAAATTCCACTCTCTCTCACAATCACCCCCAAATACAGTTTTGGCCTTTATGGTTAGCCTATGAAATCGCTCGCTCGTCTGGATGTCTAGATTCGTCTGTCCGTCCGTCGGTTCGTCCGGTAGAAAGTTTCGTAAAGGCTATTGTCTGAACTGAAATATTATCTTATTATACTAATAATTGAAACTATTGGTTCCGATTTTTTTCGTCGAATTTTTTTACATTCTATGAATTGTATAATTTATTGTGTTCCCAAATGAGATAATACATGTTGCAATTAATGTTGAAAAGTATCAATGTGACTTTCAGCTTTAACGATTTTCCCTTGACACTTTATACATTTTGCTAAAAGTGTAAATACAGTGTTACATCATGATGGTTTGAAGATGAGCTAACTCTACTGATTATATTCAATAATCCTATTGTATATGTATCATTTTAAATACACTTATTCATGATACATTTATAATTTGATCGACTTTTGCACTTTGACTTACTCTTGCAAATTGACCTTTTTAAGAATGGGTTTAAGGAATCACCATGCGAGGGTGTCATTTTTGAGGGGAAGACTTTGGGTAATCCGCTCGGAGTACTGCTGTTTGGTAATCTTTATACAATAACATTTAGTTTATTTACTCTCCGGATTTGTGTCGACCCTATTCCTACCTATATTTGCCTAATCCTTGCAAGTTTGAGTTTAATGTAGAATCTAATACTAATATCTAATACCGTATGTGAAAAGACAAACATAGTAACCACATTTACACGTCAACTCCCAACATCTATCTTGGACTTCCAATGTTCAGTATGTCGTATGACATTACATTATAACTCGGAAACAAATCTTGCCCAAATCATGAGATCTTAAGCAAGTGATCAAGGGCTCTAATCAATTAGATTTCCGTCAGTTTAGATTATACGTATTCATGCAAAAGTCATAAGAAACTCCGTCAGGGTTAAAATGTAAGTATTTAGTGTAAACATCTGAAAATAATCCTCAAATGATCATTTACTCAATATATCTGTATATTCTTTTGATAAATTCCCAATAAATGTGTTACATATTTCTAAATTACATAAAAACCTGTTACTTCTTTTGCTACCGTGGTCATTTTTGCTGGATTTCTTTTTGAAATCGCCTGAATAATTTTTGGCTTATTTTTGTTTGCTTAATTTGAGTGTATGGTTTAAAAGCACCAAAAATACCTTAATTAAAGTCGTTTTTAATCCATGTTGCTTTTGCGAGTTTTGAGAGTTTTGAAAAGAGATATAAATGATATCAATTTGGCAACCTATTAATGCTTCATTTTATTTCAAGAATCCCGTCACTGTATTTGAGGTAAAGGATCTAGTGCACCCTCCATTTTTCAAAAGAAATATACTGCTTTTATTATTACATTTATATGTACACTAGTATCTTGTTGACCTATATTCAGCACTGTATCGATGAATGGGCCACTTATTAGCGCAAATATTTAATCATAAAGTGTACAGGGGTAGAGATGCCAAACCAGGAAGTGTTTTTGTGTCTTATCCATTTGCATCCTACACATCCCTACATCTTATCCAAATATGTTATTAATTAACTTAACTTAACAGTATGATCTTTGGATTTACAAAGTTGTATGGGATTTCATAAGTGTAAAAGTTGCTTTTGAAGCATTTTTTATAGCCATTTTGTAGGAAAAAATGATGAAAAAAATGTATAATCTTTTAATTTGAAGTATGACCTGAATCGATTGCAAACTTTATATTTGCACATCTGATGTGATATACCATTTGTGTCATATTGTGAAATTATTTAATTTGCAATCGATTCAGGTCATAGTGTATTTTAGGTAGTTTTGTGAAAATCAATAGAAACCAATGGCCTCCATTGGAATCTGAATCAGATGATATCCACATGTTAAGTCAATGGAGCACATTCAATGTCAAGTCAATACACCCTTGCTGAACTTAATGACCTCGACCTCCACCCATGTTGGTCCAAACGCTTAAATATTTTCCAAAGTATTATGGGACATTGTATCCTTTATGTTACACCTAAAAATGATTCATTTTGTTCATGGGGTAATCATAACAGAAATTGCACTAGACCCTTTGTCCCGTGAGCAAATAACCTTAAAATTCTGAGGCATAGAAACTATTTATAATCGCGTAAGAGAGTGGTGTTTGATCCCCTTGTCTTTTTATTTACTAGAATAAAGTAAAAGAGTTTGGAAAGTTTCTTGATCCAAGACTTGATGAAAGGATTCATAACACATCATTTCCTACCTCAAATGAACTATACAAGTCTAAAAGTTACTCAAAGAACGATCTGTATTATCAAACATGGGATTTCATCAAGTTGGGGGATAATCTGACAGCCCAGGGTAGACCAATATTAAAACAGATGTACTTGGAGGTACAGAGGCGATATCATTCGGACCTCTACATGTACGTCAATGGAGATATCCTGTTCCACGCTGAATCTTTGCTTCAAACTCTTTATGGAATAAAACAGTTCGTGGACGATCCAAAAACTAAAAGGAAAAAGTGGCTCTTATTCGGCGGTCGTAGAGAGGTTAACTTTTTTGATACAAAAACAAGATTGAACCACGTGCTCCAGTTTGGGGATGACTCCGAGATCCAGAGCATATCTCTTCGGTCCAGAGTAATTAACCATAACGCTCTTGATTTCTTCATCTGTAGCAGGACCAGCTTTCCCTGGATAGTTGTCCCCGACTTTGTTGTCAGTCTTCCCCTATTTGACCATTGGTTGGTACTATACAGTAACAAAATGGGTATTGAAACATTCGATATTTCAGGAACAGCCCTCGTGGTGCATCAAAGAGGAGTAACAAAGTTGAAAGATTCGAAATATGCGCAAGCGGATAATTTGAATACGTTCCTGTTCGATAGCTCTGTTGGTATACGATGCGCGTTTGACACTTTTCAGGCTCGACTCGAATGCATGCGACAGAGAACCAGGCGACAGAGAGTCTTGAAAGAAGATGTGATTGTCATTGCTAAAAACAACAATTTTAATAAGTATATGGATATGGGGTGTGTTTACGAACATCCATTTATGGTACCTGTTATTGGGAAAGACCCCTGGAACAATTTATAAATATAATGTGCGGATATCAACTGGGTGTATTTCCAAATATCAAAATTCCTCTAAAACTCCAAGATAATTGGTACAGGATGAGCCAAAACAAATAATGTTAATGACTCATGATCAAGTCATTTTGCACAGGTTTTCAATAATAAAATCGAAACGTCAACCAATACGTATGACCAATCCCCCACTCAAGTGCATCGCTTCAACATTTTCCGGTCACGTTTAGGTTGTGAAAAACATTCCAAGCTTAAACTCCCTATTAGCACGATTGAACCGTGTTAAATGCTCTTTCCTGCTACTAAGTTTCATTAGTTTAATCTACAATGATCACGATTTAATGGCCATTTACAAAACATGCTCGAAATGCCGAAACGTGTCACGCTCACCAGACATACATGTAAATCCCCCAAAGTTTTATTTATGGGGCTAATGCCTACATTAACAACCCTTTAAACATTGAAACAAGAGATAAGAAGGAAAATGGGAGCAATAACACAAGATACCTTTGCTCGTGTAGTGGACAACTATGCCCGATACATTCAAATTGGCCTCCAGACACGACACCGGTATTCTATACCATGTTTTGCGAAATAGCCATTAAATCGTGAACGTTGGAAATTGACCAAATGAACTTCGTATATTGAAAGAACATTGACCAAGGTTTAATTCTGTGACATGACACTTAACCATGCTGAATGACTGAGTTATTAACATTTGTTTGCGTTACCTTTTTGGCTCACCCTGTATAACCCGAAAAATCTTGATATTGAAATTCAGAGGATGTCGGAATTGATGAAAGAAAGTGAATATTATTTTTACGTTATTTATTATGCTGTTGTTTTTGGATTTAACCTTTTGTTACGACAGTTATCAACAATTACCCGCTTATAGTATAAACAAACAATAAAACAAATCAGAATCAAAATATGCAGTTATTAAAAGCAATATGACACCCTGTAATACATTGTTACTCTAAATGTATACTACTGTTGTCTTGTTATGGTTCAAGAAGCAAAGACATTATATTAAATGTATCTTTATGTAATAAATGAATTATAATGTGAGCGACATATTTTATATATTTAGCTTATTTGTAATAAAGCCCAGTCACTGACTTCCCGGCTTAATATCGGTAGATTAGTAAATATTAAATAAAAGAAGAATCAATTACGCCAACAGTACATGTATTTCGACGCATTTAATTCATTTTTCATGGTTATATGGTGGTCGTACACATTAGTATCTACAGTATATTGCATATTTTTGAATTCTAAGACGTCCAATGCTCGTCATGTTTGTGTTTCCTTTAACCCCCCCCCCAAAAAAAAAAAAAAATGTCATACGTAAAGATAATTTACATGTGTTTGCTTTACCTCATACGCGCTGACAAGCTTCAACGGATACAACACAGTTACAAAGAACCTCTCTGCAAAGATGATACCTAGAACGGTACCCACACAGCCGAGCCAAAACATCGATCCTCCATAGTTCATTTCCGCAGTTAGCCCCAGTAAGGTCCCCGACGCAGTTAGCGATACCATAAGGGAAAGCGCTGTCGGTATTAATCGTAACTTCCTGTTTCCCAATAGATACGACTCGAGTGAGTTCCCGCTTGTAAATGCATAGTAAACGCCTATTCCTAGGGAGAAAACGATAACAAGTACGAGTACGAGATAGTCAGCCCAGTGAAACACTGCCATCTTTCAGGATAATATCTAAAACAATAATACAGAGTGACACAAAAAGGTAAGTTTTAATTACAATTGGAATCGTGTTCATTTTTTGTATAAATGAAATATTTAATGGCTGCGTTTAGATATAATGTACTTTTACAGGTCATTCAATAATCGATTTAGCTTTTTAAAACTTAATAAAAGTTTTATTTAGCTATATCTGTAGTCTAAATCTGTACAAAAGTAGCATGATAATTCCACCAGCCATCGTAAAAAGATATTTGGATATTTGGCACTGTAGCGGTTGTCATGATTACTTGAAAAGGATAGAAAATGTCACTCTTATACAGTCACAAGTCATGTTCAATCAAGTGAAGTCATGTCCGATTCAATATTCGCCATCCTCCTATGCAGGTATCCAGAATCCGTACCTCCTTCTTCTCCCTGCTAGAACCAATTTGGAAGCGCCCGATTAAACTGAATCACGTGATCTAATTGTGTGCAATGACTTATACATGTACATGATTTCTGTCGCAGATTCACGCCTTACCATCGACAAGGTACAGTCACGTGACAGTGACAAAATATACCGTAGTACACTTTTGATGTACTATGTCACTATTAACTGATTTTAAGCAAAGACTATGATGTAGGTTTGATGCAGGTTTTCAAAAATAAATTTGAGGAATACATAAAGCATTTCATGTTTGATTTCGCGTGTATTCGATTTCAAAGACATTTATTTTTCTAATTACGTTAAAAGATCTTCGAGCAGTGCTCGATTTTTTTCGTTGTAAGTCTACCCATACAATTGTTCGGTTGGAAAAATGTTGTTTTTTACACATTTCCTTTGATAATTTTCTCCACTGACGTCTCAGAGTGTCGAATATTTTGATGAGAATGTGTTTCTCTAAACTACACAGTTTAAGACGGGTGAAGATTTAATAAATATTCATGCATTTGGTATAATTTAAAAAATCAGAAATGTACGTTGTCAACTCACAGTGTATGTTGTCCCTGTAATTGAAATTCAACAGACATGCTCCTGTATCCCTAGTACAGATAAACAGGTAAAAGTGATTTTTTCGTTGAATGCTATTTTATTTTATGAAAGTGTCAATATGGTGATTAATATGTGACCATGGCGTGTTATTTTCCGACCTCTTTGACCACTCGGCGTCGGTACGTTACGTTATGTTTAGTTGCATGGAGAGATCTATACTAGCTAATCCAAGATGACTTTCAAAATTTATGCTACAGGGTGTCCCGAAAGTATGGGCCCCCTAGGCAGACATATACCAATGTCTCCATAGTATGTGTCATATATCATTTTAAAGCTCATCCAAAGTTACATTAATTTGCCGAGTATCATGGTTCAACTCACAAATGGAATAAAGTTACAGGAATTTCAAAAGTTAGTGTTTGGCCAAAATTAAAGTCAGTTTTACACCAAAACAATAGTCGGTGTGTCTCCTTAGCCGCCATGTTAACAGCAGCAATACTTTCCATATATGACCTTAAACAGGCTTCAACTAGGGATATGGCGTTTTGTTATCCTCATAAAACCCTTTTAAGGCATAAGAAGAGTTTCCTTGGAGTATCTACCCTAAACGTCATCTTTTTAGAACTCAATATCCATCCCGGATATTCGAGAATAGCATCAATATTTTCTGTCACATTCAGGTCAGGGCTGTTTCCAGGATACTGAAATCTTTTTGGCAAAACGCTAATTTTTAAAATGCCTGTTACTTTTTACCATTTGAACCATCATATGTAACTTCGGATAAGCTTAAAAATGATATATGACACATACAACTATGGAGAAATTGGTATATGTCTGCCAAGGGGGGGGGTGCATACTTTGGGACACTCTGTATATCTGGAAAGTGCAGAAGTTCAAAAGCCGGGTTATGGAACACAAAAAAAAGAATTAGTAACATTGATATTTAATCATATCAATGACAATTTTATGGATTAACGGACAAAATATTAGAGTAAATATATCTGATATGCCTATCATTATTATTACTTTATTATCAAATATGTTCCTTCTATTACACGTACATTATAGCATTTCATTCACTGTAAAATTAACTGTGAATTGAGATCTGTAAGGCCAATGTGACAACATACATTCGAGTTGACAACATACATTATCTATTTGTCGCAGTAACATTCAAAGTAAAAAGCGGTTTTGCATTAACTCTGAATGTATAATTGTATACTTATCTTAAGTTGTGTTAGTCGTAGTTTGGCTGTTATTTGCATAGCAAAACAAAAATTAGGGAGAATTTTGCGAAATTCAGTCAGGATTTAGAGATCCCTGACGTACTGGGTAGATCTATAACAAGATATTGAAGTTGCTGAGGATCATTTGAAGTAGATATGCACATTTGCAACTTAATTACAAATCGAATGCAACAACTACCTGATGATGAACTGACACAATATTGATCTAATCAATGCTAGTTCTTGCCTCGCTTCCTCATTCTAGAAAATGGCGATCTAAAATGGCGGAAATGACATAGTACATCAAAAGTGCACTACGGTATATTTTGTCACTGTCACGTGACTGTACCTTGTCGATGGTCAGGCGTGAGATTGCGAGTTCTTAATCAGGGAAATGCTAACTGCTTATCGCAGCTGGGGTAAAAAGAAAGAATATATTCTGGATTTTGAAGCCCTGTGATCGGAGGATGATATTCGCAGTTTCATTGGTTTTTTGTCAGGTATTGGTGTTAGTAATGTTTCACAAGCATAGGTAGTAAATCATTAAATAAATCAACTGACTGATCAGAAATCTGTAAAAAGAGTGATTGTTTTTATTTTTCTATTTTTATTTGTGACGACACACCTTGCTCCTCGGTACAATATAATCTTTTCAAGTCAAAATCCATTTATAAACCTCGTACATGCAGAACGTAAAGGATGTTTTGACTTTTTGTGAAATACAAATGTATTCCAAGAAACTCACGTAAATGTTAAAATAAAACTAGTCATTTGAAAGTTCGAATGGTAAGCTTTTAAATGTTTCTTAACAAATGGGAAAACAAGATTCAGATTGCAACTCCCTTATGGTTATAATGTTTTCACACATAGCTATGCAAGGTGTGTCAGATTCCAGTCAATAATCCGAGTACTGCATTTTGTATAACTGCACTGCATTATATATATTTAACCAATAACCCGCCCAGGGTCACTCGTTGAATGGTTATCAATGTGACAACTTGACTTTACAGATTGTAATTGATGCTTTGCCAACTCGCCCCTTGCAAAAAATTCACTGAAATACAATTGTATGTACTTCAAGTGATTTCGTATCTTTTAGGTGATTTTGTAGAAATATTTTTCAATGTGTAAAAAAGTTTAAGCCCAAGACTTGATGCATTGTGGCTGATTCATCCGGTTGATATAACACATTTTGAGAATTAATTCAGTTCACATTGCCAGGGCTTAAATCCTAAATACACACATCAGAAACATCACATTGATAAATCAAATATTTATAATTAGAAAAGTTATAGTACTTACTTGTAGCTTCACTCAATTACCAGGAGTATCGCGTACAGGACAAATCCAGTGAAAAGTATGCCACTGCCACGATAATAAAGACCTTTTAACCTTGAATAACATAAACTATTAAACATTTGCACGTAAAGACAATTAAATGCAAAATTGTCAAACCACGCATAGTCATTTTTCCCCGACAGGATCTCTTATTAAACGAGACACTACATACACTACGTATACATACATCAATGTAAAAACAAACAACCCTGGGAATTAAAGGTTCTCGATTAATGTTATAAATGAGTGAACCATTGTATAATAAAATAAAAGTACAAACATTTGAAAGTTATACAGCGAGTCCCTTTTTACCCCTAGTTTTCCAAGGTCACATAATTTTAGATAAAGTATACGTTTTCAAACGCTTCTTTACATTTCTAGACATTTTTAGTTATGTAGTACTGTTATTTTATAAAGTCACATTATCCCGTACGTGTATCACTGCACTTCAGTTCAAACTGTGATTTTATAACATACTCAATATACGGAAAAACACAATTTAAAGACACATTCTTTTGTAAAATAACATTAAAACTACACACCGTTACAATCTTTTTCACAGGTAAGAGAGAGACAGCGCATCACATCTAGTATGGATGCTAAATATCCTAGGATAGTTAATCATACATTAATATTTAAGTCTCGGACAACTACCCTGTATTTTTGATAAATTTTCAAACACTACAAAGATTATTGGCGGTATCTAAGAGGAATTTCGAGGACCATATGCTCCCAAAACACATTCCTTATCCCGCTATATATGCTCTTTATCAAAATCAACTCATCGTGAAATGAGGAATGTGGTTTTTGAATGTTACTAATATGGCCCTGTATTCACCTTCAAAAAATAGGGGTTATCGCTCAAACTAGCAATTTGTCAATATTTTGCATTCCATAGTGTACTCCAAATTACCATTATTTGAACAAAAATTGATGACATTTTACCGTCTCATCGTTAATACCGGTGTCAGCAGAGCTTTATTATTTGACCCCCTCCCCTTAGAATCCCGTATCCTTCATTGAACCTTTGCTACAGTAAATTCGACGAAAATTAATTTGATGATCCCATACAATACTTTAAATGAAAAAATTCAATCTTTTGAGTTCAACAAAAACCTCGGATAACCTTTTTCTTATCATTATTGTTTGTAAATAATTTATTTGCTCTTAGTAGAGGAGCATATTCCGCTGACCAAGAGTAACGTAAAAAATTGATGCTCGCAGATACCAGATTTAATACATCATGATACATGCTATCTAAAACTTGATTGGTTGTTGTTCAGTAACACGTGACCTCTAGATACCAATATTTTCAATTATTTAATTTTATCTGGAGAAGGCTTGAATAGTACAAATACCATGCCAAGGTTCTCTCTTGTGTACACTGTTGGAATTTCAAATTAAGGACATCAAAATGTATTGCTATATGTGACAGTCTAGTCACTTACACAAAACAAACACATTCTATCTCCATTTTATTATTTTCCACCAAAAACAATATGTCTTTAGTAATTTTTGGAATTTTTTCAATTATTTTGTACTCACGATTTTGCACTGGAGAATCTGGCGAAGACACTTGGATGTATCTACAAAATGGTAAGTAATATTGTTGTTTAATTTATTTATCGTAATTATATGGTTGCTTCAACTGAGTTTACTTTCATGAGTCGTTCCTACTTCATTTTGGCACTTAAATTCTGTAAAGATGCTGATGTTAACAAACGAAACACTAAACGTCAATAACAAAACGAAATTAATTTTCACATATCATGGAAAGCCATCATTCCATTTTTAATTATCTACATCAAAATACCTCGCTGAATTGATCTTAAAGGCAAGTAATCAATGAATATTGGCTTTTCCTCAAATGTTACCGTTTGTCTTTTGATTTTTAATAAATGAAATATATTTGCAGAGATGATATGTGGCAACCCTGCAGTACCTGTGAATGGCTATATAGTCGAGCAGATCGATGCTCAGCATCTTGAACACCCTTTAAACACAACCCTGACATTTACTTGTAACGATGAGTATGTTATGTATGGGCAGAGAGAAATAAAATGTTTACAAGATGGGACATGGTCACATCCATCCCCTGTCTGTTTAGGTTTGTTTTATTGATATTCCGTCATAATTATTTAGGTTATGATGTAGAAAAGGTATGAATCTGTAATGTGCCTTTTGGTTTAGATTATTTCACACCATCACACAAGTACTGAGTGACACAAAAATGCATTCTTTAGTTTTTTGAAAATATATGTTTTTCAAAGTCTTGGAGCTATATTTTATGCTATCATGCATACCACTGTTTCGTTGCGCTGTGGACACTCTACAGATAACAATATAAACCAAGAAGATAAATTATTCTGAAAAGAGAAAGGTGGTTGCATTTTTGCGTCACCCTGTATCAAAATCGTAACAATTGGTTGCATTCGGTCATTTCACTTGTTCCAGATGTAAACATGTGTGCATCAGGTGAAACATCGGGTGACGCATCAGGTGATACATTGGGTGGCACATCACTACCAATCAATCCATCAACATGCATCACGATTGAAACTGAGCAGGTTACGTGGATTGAGGCAGATGATAAGTGTACACAAATTGGAGGGACACTGAGTGAAAGAAACAAAGAAGAGTTAGTAACCCTTCAACAGAACACGGACATCAAAATCGATTCCAGATATTGGATCGGAGGGGTTTTAAAGAAAAAATGGTTTTGGAATAATGGTACATATCTTAATTCATTAACTTCTTTATATTATACTTGTTCTTGATATTTTGATTGTAGAGCATAAATATGACAACTTGAGGACTTTCTATGTAAGACAAATTGTCCGAATCCATGGGGGGGGGTAAATATTCATTATAACATAAACCTAAAAAGTAGAATAGTCATACCTGACAGCAAAGGTACCGTTTCTGATCTAAAAGGTTTATGAAATACAGAAAATAATTTTAAAAAACTATATAAAAAGTTGAATAAGCAACACAAACACTGCTGTACGGTTATGTTTTTTACTATCTGTCTATTCATTAAATCTAGTAACTTAGTAAGGTTTCGATTTTCTTTACCTAGCTGAGGAGCTGACATATTTCAATTGGGGAGAGAACGAGCCCAAAAATACAAACATAAACAACAAATACATCATTCTACATCGGGATACAAGCCAAGGCTATAAATGGAAAGATGAATCGGGGGAAACGTTTGCCAAATTCATCTGCCAATTTGGTAAGCAATAAAGTTCATAATATAATTGTAATCGTTTGATATCATAAAAATATCGTTACTTACAAAAATATCGTTACTTGTAAAATGTGATAATAAATTCCTAATTTGACTTGCATCAAACCCTTTTAGGTGCCTTCGATTCATTATATCAATTCATTATATCAATATCACATACCCATGCAAATACTCACTTATCAGTTCAATCACCAATCTAGGACTCATGCCAGAATAATTCGAGGAAATTATTTACGTTCGTGTTGATGAGAGCCTTGATTCTCTCGGACTGGCAACATGTTACACATTGAGAGGTGTTTGGATTAGAGAGGTGTTCAGATATACAGGTTTTACGATATATTAAACATTGTTAATACATACTTGTAGAAGTAGACACTCCCTGTAAAGAGACCCCTCGAAGTATGCCAATAGTAGAAGATGGCATGAACTCCTGTATATTCTTTGGTGGACCGTATGGAACAAACTTCACTGACCCTGTAGTGTTGGACCCATTGTACCAAGGCAGCAACTGGCTACAGGCTAATGCCACGTGTGCCCAACAGAGAGGTATCTTGGTGAGAATACCCAGTGCTGAGACACAGGAAGCAATTGTTGCTAAAATCACACGTGATGAAGAACTGGACGGAGATTATTGGATCGGAGGTAACTGGAATCAAAGTAAACATGGCTATTGGGCAGGAGTGAAAAGTGAGTTCTCATTCCAGCCGAAACATTTATAAAAAATTACAACAATACAAAGCGAAACCAATGTAATTCATCTCCAACCAAAGTTTTGGGCTTAAAATTGAGTTAAGATCATCCATGTCTTTCAATGTGTAATTCCACCGAGCTTACCCATAATAATACAATAATGAACTCAAAATACTATTTAGGTTAATATCAATGTTCTACTTTGAAACTATCTAAAACAAAACAAACAATGTTATCTTAATTTGATAATTATTTTAAGGTGACGACCGTGTAGACCAGAGTGAGATATGCGCCGGTGAAGAAAGTGATATTGATAAGGATATTGAAAAAAGATGTCTCTATGCGGATACCTCTAAAAGTTGTTTAGTTAAGGAAAATTGTAGTGCGAAACGAGGTTATCTATGTGAAACTAGTAAGAAATACTTACCTTAAATAATTCATCCGCATCCAGTCAAATAATGATCGTTATTTGTTTTGTTGATTTCGTAGTACAGATATGTATAGGATGTCAAAATGTAGGACCAACAAATGTTGATTAACATGGTCAATTTGAATATTCCGGGTCGAAACAGAGTTATTTAATTCTTTCAATGTAATTTTTTTGAAAGTTTGATGATGAATCTGCTTATCAAGTCAAAAACTACAGCACCTTTAAAAACATGTTCCAAGTGGGCTTCTCTCATCTCTTTATTCAATGATGCAAAATTTCTTTTACATTGAATGAATGAACTGGAATTTCTTGTATGTATACAGGCTACATATGTATGTCATTCCTCATCATACCTATAAATCCTACATGATTAAAAATCGCAAATCGAAATAGTAAGAAGATTTTCACCTTACATCTATGCTTCATGCTCTACTTTACTTTTCAGAGGTAAAGCATATACCAAAACCTACAGAGTGTCCGTTACCGCCGTTCCCACTGCACTCGATCATTATCAACAGTCACAATGTCCATATCGGCGGTATGGTTGAGTTTAAGTGTATGCCAGGGTTTGTGATATCCAATGGGGATACCACACGGACTTGTAAAACTGATGGAATCTGGTCTGGACAAGAGATAGTGTGCGTAAATGCATCTACGGTTGTTTTCCCTCATGGTAATACAACTGATCATCGCAGACCAGCTTCTGTCTCAACACTAACATTGTCACGCTTCACAACGACAGCGTCTCCAAACGCGACAGTAATTAATCAACTTAACACGTTAGGAACACAGAGACATGACGGTGATGACACATTTCCAGGTACCGTAAGTCAAAGAATAACACGCACTTTTTAGAATTCATTATGTTGTATCGTAGTCCCGGTCGAAAAGCGCTATGACGAAACAAGCCTTTAAACATCAATCTTACTTTTACTTAATTGGGAAAATAGTATGCAACTTCAACTGAACGCTTCCTCAGCAAAAGCGGTTGACACCTATGTACTGTAATAGGGTTTTTGAGAGACAATTTGTTCTATTAATTGACCAAATGGAATGAAGTAATGGAAGTGTTGATATTACAGTTGAGTCACGTAGAACTTTAATGTCTCAAAGCTATCATTTTGGTTGGCAATCGGATATAAAACTAATTAGATAATCGTGGGTAACGTCTTAGCGTTAACACACCTTGACAGATCATGCAAGCAAAAACCAATATAAAAATTTACCGTTAACACACTGTGACATCTCGTGCAAGCAAAAACAAGTATAAAAAAAATTTCTGCAGAGTGGTTTTGAAACATTTACCCACACATCATGGCAACATTCTATTTTTGCCTTTCCTCGTACAACTAAAAAGGCTTTTACTGAAACATGTACTATGTTTTCTTTTGTTGACATTGTGGAATATGTATTTGAATAACTCTCTTCAACTATTAAATAAAAGAGCATCTTCTGTATATTTTTCAGGTTGGATTATTGGACTGATCGTCGGTTGCATTGTCTTTCTGATCACCATCATAATCCTCCTGAGTGTTCTAGGCATCATTGTCATTAGAAGGTCGGTGTTGTCATTAAGATGTATTATATATGACGATATATGTTTCACACTAATAGCATGTTTGATTAAATGCATTGTAACCATATGCGTGTAATACATTTCCAATTAATCATGGACGAATATATGTCATAATATGAATGTGTTTCTAAAAGGGTTCCGATAAGCTTCTCGCAGAAAAACAATATGGCGGCTCCAGGCGAGTCAACTAGATCAGTCCATTTTTAAGAAATAAGGGGAGTTTTGTAAAATCCAGTTAATTTGAATTGTCTTGGAGATAAAGTTATCCGTTTATAATGATTCTGAAAGCATTATTCAGATAGTGATTGTTCAAGAATGCAACAGCCATAAAATATAACTCCTTGTATGAGAACTGCTTTGTTTCATTTGGAGGATATTTTATATGCCAAGCTGTGAACTATTACGTTATGGGGAAATTCAGATGTCAATTTTTCCTTATTATACACAAATAGAAGATCCCAAAACTTCACCCATAAATGTGAAATTGATTTGTCAAAAAAAAAAGTTTATGAATGTGTGACGATCAATAATATACGAATGCTATATAACAGTTAGAGGTGTTGACACAACGACCTCGAGCCTGTGAGCCCTTGAGTATTATTCCGGGATCGGGCATTTTAATCTAAACGGTGAGCAACATCAGAAACGAGCGTTCGATATGCTGAACGATATGCGTCGCCCTTTAAATATCTTTATTACACCAGAGGACATTTAATATTTTGCCATTTTTACGATTTTACCTCTTTGATATACAATAATTACCCTGACGTGAGTAGGTAGTTACCATTTTCACTACCAGGTGGCTGATTCGGGGTAGAAAACATGCCAGGGTATTAGGAAGTTCCCTTAAATTTGAATATTCATCAGTTTCAGTGGTTCACGTTACCCGAGACCAGATGTTACCCTTATGTGTCATATAGTTACAAATTGACATTAATAGTATTATATTTTGCAAATCAAGCAAATAGTGAAGAATATATACACACATCTAAAAGCTTAATGGTGTAAATTGGATAAGTGATATCAAAAAGGGCAATTTTGGTGAATATTCTGCAGCATGCTATTGATATTAATTCTGATAATCTGACATCCATGTGTTCTCTTAATGGATTTACTTGATGTAATATTGCAGAAAACATGTGAAGCAGTGTGAAGGATTGTATAAGACAGCAGAGAAGACCTTTAATGAAGCCAATATTAACATTGGTATGGAAGAGATGGACCTCTCACTTGAAGACAGAGGTATGTAGCACACTCATGCAGCAGTTGATCTATTTGAAAACAAGTGAAGATTATGTCGTAAAACAATACTAATGTCGTAAAATTTATGACTAATTGTTTTCTCCTCTCAAATATATGTCGAAATAAAATGAGAATCACAATCCTATAAACGACATGGATTTAACATACCATGACGTTAAAGGAATCGCAAGGAGGGCAATATTCGGCGCATTGAATCTCGTACTTGTAAGGGCCAGCTGTAGCTATAAAGCTATTGGCACTGTCCATTTGCAAATTTATTTAAAGGCCCTTGTTTAATCAAATGAGCTCACTAAATTAACTCAAAGCAAACACAAATTGCTTTCCCGAACGGAAATAAGAAAATAACCTCCCTAATGAATCAAACAGTGTCTCTAGTATAGCTTGGACTAGTTCAACAAAATGTATATTTAATTAGACTAACTGTTGAGGGTACAGATGATTCGCAGCTAACTTTGTCAAACTACCAGTAGGTGTATATTATACAAATTCCCATGGTTATCAAGGCCTTATAATTACCATGGCAATCATAATAAAAATGGGAGTAAAATAAGAGAAAGAGTGCCCAAACCTACCACAATGACACTTATTAAATAAAATGTTTCCCGACATATTACCTTTTTACATTTAAGCATCATCTAAAATCTCCAAAACAACAAACCTATCCAAATTAAGGGTATGGTATTTTGCTGGGGATTGGGAAAGGGAAACGTCGAAACATTACTCATATTCGCTTTCGATTAACCAATTATCGCCAAAATTCACATGTTTTTCAATGTTGACGTCCCTGCACATTACTTAACATACGAATAACCACATTCAAACTTTCTGACATTCTTTGAAATCTCTGCTTTACCATTTTAACCAATAAATGACATCTTCTTATTCACCAGGTGACTCGTTCGCCGAACCTAGCCGATATAATTCAGTTGCAGTCCGGGGTGAATCCGAATCGGATGACTCTAGATGTAATGGTACACCTGAAAGACAGATTAGCTTGGTGAGCAATGAATTATACAACACACAAAGAATTCAGAGGCAGTATTCACAACCTGATGTCAAACGACCAAGGGTCTTTTCCAAGCCACGGTCCACCAGTAAAGTCGATTCTGCATCAAGTATGGAAAGTGGATTACCCAATATGATATGTTCATGTAGTGATAGCGCGTTTGATACCCAACTGGCTGTAGCCGGTTTTGTTAATCCACTTGTGACAGAAGGCAAAGAAAATCCTGTCGATGTTGCTGACATTGCCTTAGAAATGATCCCAGACGAAGGTACATACGATGATGATGAGAGTGAAAATGGAGAGGATGAAGTTGACTATGCGACAATTGATAATGAACTGGATTCGAGGCCCATTTCATCAGTATCTTCGTGTGTTGGGTACGACACAGTCGGGCCTCCTTCATCAGTCAGTTCATACGCATCAGTATTCTTACCAGATGGGACGTTAAGGTCATCACGTTTGAGTGAAGCGACGAGCAGTATTGGGTACGAGAGCATCGACTCGTATACAAATTGCGAACGGATTCAATCAAGTTTATCAGCTGATGAACTCAGTTTTTCAATTGAAAGTCCTAGTAATAGAACTTCAATTTCCACATTGGAAAACAGTTACGAAAACGTCAATTTCCAAGTGCATCCGGATCCTTATCAAATATCGTCCTCATCCAATAGGTGTTCATCAGAATCATCAGGTTATCTGAAAATGAACCGACATATCACGTGTCCAAATCTAAACGACTCTCGGTGCTTTTCACCATTGAGTGATGACGTATTTGAAGAGTTTGCAGAAGTGGACTATGCAAATACCAAACTTAACCAAGGAAAATTGAGTTTCAACTTGGATGATTCAATTGTTTGATTAGGCTTCTGCTCAGACTGGGTCATTGTGTTCTTTAAGAAGAAACGACAGGAAATCTCATCATGTTTAGATTATGCTATCGGTTAGACTGTCGTCACATGACACATAAATATGTACGTGATGATGTTGTGCACATATTTTAATCATGGTTATGCTAACATTGACGATGTAGACCAAAACTATAAATATAACAATATTTCAGCTGTTCATAAATGATCCGTGAATATATTGATAATGACAATTTCATTGATATATTGAAGAATAATACTAGACGAGAAAGCACTTCAAAGAATTAATAATTGCTGTTTTATTATAAACTATGCACACATGTGAACCAGACGAGGATTAAAAATGAACTTAGTCATAATGGCATTTTACTAATTCAAAAACATTATAAAAGCTACCATATTAAACAATGCGGAAGCAACTCGATATTCGACCTTGACCTTGATCGATCATATCAACATTGAAAATGTTCTCAATGTCACTATTTTCTGACAATAACTGACTATAAATTCATTATCAGCGGTTGGAAAGTCTTGTACTAACATATTGATCACTTCTTTGGTGTTTTTTAATTTTTAGCTTAGAAATAAGACCAAATCTCGTGATTCAAATTCTGATGTGAAAAATTGGCGGTGATTGATATGGAATTTTGTAATCACGACATCATTCAAGATCGGATTCATTGTCGGAAAATAGCTATATTGCATTTTGGGAGGCAATTCTCATTTTATATTATATCATCAAATAGTTCTTAAATAACTATGTACAAGAGCTTGTTTGTGATAAATTTATTTTTTTGTAATATGAATCCGATTTGGTCTTTCATCTTTCGTTTGAATCGGATGCATGTCAACCAGATTAATTTCCTGTCAAATTGGTTGTTCAGTAATTAATCAAACGTACTCTTGCAGTAGAAAAATAGATACGAAAATAGACTGAGAATAAAGTGTTTTGTATTGTCCAATCTACAATGGAATAATGACTTTCGACTTAAGGACTTCCTGATTTGTCAAAAGTTAATAAACTATTTTCAGTTTCGTTTGATAGTTATGATGATTATGCATGCATGCTAATACGGGTATAATTTCCTTCCGTTCCTTGAGCCTTATCTGTCACGTTTCGGTCCCTCTGCCCTTTCGCGGTTCATGTACGAACCCAAACGGTTGTCTGAGACGGGAAATGATGAAAGAAAAAATAGTATCAAGCAGGGAATGTCCTGATATATCTTGTTTGATGAAGTCAACAACCTAGCTTATTGTTCTGGATTTATTTAGATCAGGGCCGTTGAGCTACAACTGCTTTTGATTTATATGTCGGTCATGTAGTAATCCCTAAGTCTTATATTGATCCGTCTTAGGTTCTGAGAAACTATAAAATGTAATTTCCTTCGTTGTACTTTCTCAATCGCATGCTAAAGTAAATGCAGATTCTAGTGACGAGTTTCTTCTATTGTACGGTAGCATAGTATAAAATTCTTCATTTCTGACAGGATTTACGTACTCCTTTGTCTTTTGTGATTTTTTGTGATATGAAAGCCTCGCACTTTGGAAATACAAGACGCATGGGCTTAATTAGCTATAGTTAAGATTAGAACAACAGCAGAAGCTATGAATCATATTCATCCAATTTCAAACAGCGGTCCTTTTCATCTCAAATGAAACATTCGAATTCTTTGAGAAATGAAGAGGCAAAGTCTTTATTATCATCTTCATTCGATAAAATTAGACGAAACAAAAGTTAAATGCTTCGAATGTTTAGGCTAATTAAGGAATAGTATAACCTTCATGGACTCATATTCTATCTATACTACTTATAGTCGTCACCTGGGCCTGCTCCGATTTTCACCACGGCGCCAGGTGTAAAAGAAATTATGGTCCCCTGGGGATTATGGTCCCCTTTCTAAACGGCCCTTACTGGCCCTGATTGTGTATAAGATAATAAGAGAAAGAGTTGTATTTAGGTCACCATATAAATCAATGGAGAGTAGGACCATAATTTGATAGGACCTCCTATTGAATATAATATTGAACAAAACACTTAATCGCCCGGGCGCCGGCCGATGAATCGGAGCAAATGTGACCCAGGCATTATTCTATAGTTTTAGTTGAAAAACGCACGGAATATCATATTTCTGTAATGTTTTGGTGAGTCAGTTACCTCCCATGCCTCACGTCCGTCTGAACACACATGGATGCTATTATGTTATGTCTAGATCTCCCGTTATGTCATAAGCACTTATACTATTCATTATATGTTGACAACTACAGCATCTGCCGCCCTTTATGTAAGCCTCTGTAATATGCCCCTGGCCAGGAAATATTCGAATTACAGTGAAACCTGAATAATCCGAACGTCTCTGGGCCAGCTAGAAGTGCTCGAATTAGCAAGTGTTCACATTTTAAGGTTTTATAAGCATGTATATCAATGAAAAAATGCAAATTTGAGAAAGAGAAAAGTGTTCACTTTGAGAGGTATATATGCGGATTTGAGAGGTGTTCGGATATACAGGTTTCACTATTGTTAGTTTAACTACATGCTAGCTGTATGTTCACGAGGCAGACCTCAACAAAATCACAAAATAATATAAATGATTGTCTTGTCTATGTTAAGGATATATACGAACGTGTCAATGGTTTACAGACCAATTGAGGGTTTGCTAAATAGCTTTGAAATCTAATTTGATGAGCTTTTAGGAGATCTGCGTTTTTACCATTTAACACCAATATTTTTTTCTATTTGATGGCATAATTGAAATCAGTGTTTAATTTTCTACTAAACAAGTTTGACTTACACAGTTATTCACCTTTATTCAAATTTCAGGATTTTCAAGTTTTCTGAAAAGGTTGGGCTAGATCCCCAAAATCACAATCTAATTTAAAAAAATAATTTACTCTTTTAATGTTAAATCTCTAAATGATAAATCACAATAATCCTTCAAGAACATCGTACACATTTAATACAGTATTCTGGCCATCCCAACACACGTGCTGCCATCTATTCACCAATCTCTATATATCTTCATGGCCATTCTCCATCCTCCGAACGCACGGTTAATGCAGCTGCAAAGTCGTTGATGGCTAAAACTATAGGAGTTGACTACATACAAAGTCTTCTGAATTTGTCCAAGAAGCCAGTTTTGGTTTACCTTAAGAAGCTCGATGTGACTCACGCGTTGATTAATCTAATCATTGACCTACGAAAACAAGGGAAGTAAAAAATGGAATCCCAATATTGATTTAATCATCATTATTATACTATCATGTCAAAAGTAAAGCCACTCAGAAAATTGTAATAATTAGGAGTGATAAAAAGGAATAATGGCACTTTCCCATCTAACAACTAGTTCTCCTTGGTAGAGTCGAATATACATTATTTAAAGTACATTTATTACTTGGAGAATAGTACAGACACTTTTATACGTATATTATATGTCTCTTCCCAAGAATTCATATTAATATATAACCACAAGATATATCATCAGCTTCTCATCAGCCTAGATAAGGTAATGTATTGAAAATGAGAAATGACATTCCCCTCTCACTTTACATTAGATTGAATATTGTACTCTTAAGTATAATCTTAAAGGAAAGCTATGCCCTATAGCTACAGTATATACGTATATGCGTTCTGTTACCATAGCTCTACCTGATACACACTTCTTGCTAATGTTTCACTTGTACTGCACTCTTCAAACTTGTAAAATGTCGGAACCTCGAAAGTATGATTTTTCTTTTTCCTTATTAGAGTACACACACTATATACTACTTGTTATGCTATATATTAATGTTTGAACCCATATTAAGTTAATATCCGTGTTAAGATCTCATATTCTTACGTTGCTATACCTAAACACATTACGTACGCGTGCTAATGCTTTAACCTATATCAAGTTAATATCCGGGTTTACTATACCTTATACACATTACTTCCTAATGTTTGAACCCATATTAAGTTAATATCTGGGTTTAGATCTCATATGTCTTATGTTGCTATACCTCATACACATTACTTGCTAATGTTTGAACCCATATTAAGTTTAACATCTGGTTAGGTTTTAAGTTGCTATACCTTATACACAGTATTTGCTTATATTTGAGCCCATATTTATTTAATATCCGGGTTTATAACTCATATGTTATGTTGCTATACACATGTACTTCGTACACACAACTTGCTCATGTTTGAACCCATAACAAGATATGAGATTTTACATGCCTTATTTTACAATGCCTTATGGACACTTGCTAATGTATGGACCCGTAATACGGTAAAACTAAGTATAATTCTCCTATGGTTTATGTTTTAAAACCTTATACACATTACTTGCTATACATTATACACTCTTGCTACTACTACTTGCTACTACTACTTGCTAATGTTTTAGCCCATACTATTAAAGTTAATATCCGTTGTGTGCTCTCACGCGTCTTATTTGCTATACCTTATGTATACTTGCAAATGCTCTAACCCATATTAAGTTAATATCCGGGTTTAAGCTCTCATATGTCTTATTTGAACACATTACTTGTCTTATATTACTATGCCTTATGATTAAGAACATTTGCTAATGTGTAGACCCATGTTAAAGTAAAATCTGAGTATAGCTCTCGTATGTCTATACCTTTAAATTCATAGCATGTATTTGTAAAAGAATCGTGATAGTTCGTACCGTCTCTTTTCATATCCTTGCAATGCTGCTGTGACGTCTATCGTGAAAATTTGAGTTCAAAATGGAAAAAATCTTGTAGGTTTCTTCATAATCTTTAATGGTATATCTTATTATCTTTAATGGTACACCAAAAAGTGTTACAGCAACTCAACTGAGTAGTCAATGTACCTTTTCTAATCTACAATAAAAGATCATACATTTTTGGGTTTATTACTCCTTTAAATGTAATAAGAAATTAAGCCATATTTGTCCAGAGTAACCCTATATGACCGGTTTCCCTCAAAGATAATTAGTAACTAGATGACTAGTGCTACATTAATGAGTATATCATTCCGGAAATGATTCGAAAGTACATCACCTCAGAGAATCAATAGTACAGTGATAGCTAAGTCCCAAGATTAGGGGGCAGATAGATACATTATAACTCACCCCATGCAGACAGATCGCCTTAAATTACATTCCTATGATGTGAGACTCGACATTCATCGGGAAAGTAGAAACATTTTATCACCCATGATGCAAATTAATTTTTACTGCTTCATGAATGACAGTCATATTAAGTTACACTAAGTATGAGAATGGCATGCCGTCTTGATATTTCAAGGCAACTCGTTCGAAAAATGATGACGGTGACGATGTTAAGATAAAACCGCAACGAAATATTTGTAGATTCTTGAAAAACTAAGAAATATACATGTATATTGAACCACAGTAGCGACGATGCAAACGCAGACAATTACTATTTATTTGATGATTAACCAGGAAAAAGAGTATTAAAATTCCTATGGTGAATCAAAGATTCAAATATATTTAAGGACATCGATTTCTCAGAGGCCTTATAAATAAACCGTCGATAACCCTACTATCACGCCAAACTAGTTCTCACAATCTCACAACGTTCTCAAAAACGGGCTTCAACCGTGTACGAGCGGACTGGACATACTAAGAACCGTTTGGGGGTCTATTTACAAACTTCATCGAACGTACTCGAAAGGGTAGGTCCTCTAGAACTTAGAACATGTTAAAAATGTTATCTTGGTCGTCACGTTCTACAATTAGAACGAGTGACAACCTACTAACGACGAGCTGGGCGTACTACGAACGGATCCGTCGTACTTCAATCCTACTAGGGACGTTTTTACAACGAGTTGAACTGTCTGAGGACGTATTGAGAACGGGGTAGAACTAATTGCAAACGGGTTTAAACTGATTAAGAACGTATTTATACACGAGTTAGCAAAAATATAACTATCACATCAAGCAAGTTGCCACTGGCGTTCTTCAAAACTGGTTTTAAACTGTGTGCGAACGGAATGAACCAGTAGCTACAACGTTCTACGGTCTGTTTCCGAACTTCATGGACTTTCCCGGACGGGGAATGTGATTAAGAATTTTGAATCGATTCAAAATTCGATGGCGACCATACCGTTCTGTAATCAGGTCATGATGACCTTGCAGACTGAGGGACGCGTTATACGTATGGCTGGCCAAATGGTACAATGTCACGTCGTTATGTTTACGACCATATGGTCGTTCAACACGGTCGTAAGGTCGTAAAGTTACGTCAGTGAGGTCGTATAACACGGTCGTAAGGTCGTAAATTTACGTCAGTAAGGTCGTATAACACGGTCGTAAGGTCGTAAATTTGCGTCAGTAAAGTCGTAATAACACGGTTGTAAGGTCGTAAATTTACGTCAGTAAGGTCGTATAACACTGTCATAAGGTCGTAAATTTAAGTCATTAAGGTCGTAATAACACGGTCGTAAGGTCGTAAATTTACGTCAGTAAGGTCGTATAGCACGGTTGTAAGGTCGTAAATTTACGTCAGTAAGTTTTCACAATCTTGACGTTCTTGAGGTCGTACATTTACGACCTTACGGTCGTTAACATAACGACTATGAGGTCGTTAATTTACGTTCTTGGAACCGATAATAACGACCTTAAGGACGTAAATTAACGACCTTATGGTCGTACATTTACGTTCTTGCGGTCGTTTATTTACGACCTTACGGTCGTAGACATTACGACTATGAGGTCGTTAATTCACGTTCTTGGAACCGATAATTAATAACGACCTTAAGGACGTAAATTAACGACCTTATGGCCGTATATTTACGTTCTTGCGGTCGTAAATTTACGACCTTACGGTCGTAAACATAACGACGTAACTTTGTACCACTTGGCCAGCCATATATACGACGTTGCACACCGACGTGGTGCGACCTGAACGAACTGCGAATGAGATGGACGTATTAAAGACTGTTTATGAACGAAATAGCTTATTATTTTAGACATATTTCCCGACCACAGCCAAATTGAGCCCGTTTTACGACGTTTTCGTAGGACTGGAAAGAACGGGTAAGAACTAGTTTGGTGTGATAGGGAGGTAAAGTGTCGATTGTTTTATGAAAATATGTTTCTCGATATTCTGTCTATTCTTCGTCTCGTTCCAATACGGAATTTCTCAAGCAGAATATATCCTGTATTGCACTTCAAATCATTCAATAACTAATAGTGTTGTGGAATATTCGATGGTTAAAATGTTTCAACTTTTGTTTGAAAATGGCGGGAAATTCGAATATTTTAGAAATAAAATCCTGTCAACTTTTTCAATAATTTTTCTTTTTCAAAATCTTTAAAATAATTTTTAAGGTCATAAAAAGTAGTAAATGAGAGCCAATAATTATTTTCAATCTTTATGTAGCGCCTTTAAAGAAGGGGAAACCCCAGCCAAGGCCAATACAGAAACCTCGACATGTTTATTCTGAAAGAATCTACAGATAACATTTTTGAAGCTCAATTTGACGATGTGAACCAGATAAGCTGAATAAATGATCATGTAATGGTAGGTTTAGGATATTGGGATTATATCTTGACCAAAATGATGTATCTGCCTTCTCGTGTTTACAGTGATGTAACTAGTGAAAAACGTTTTTAATGAATATATTTATTAATACGTTTACTGGGCATGGATAAAGCAAGGACGTGCTGGCTTCTTGCGTAGAAAGGATTTATCAAAACCAAATTGATCGATCCTATCTTTTACATTGATTTTTCTTTGTAATTTATTGCATTTGGTCAGCAGATGTAAGTCCATTCTGCAATGAAATAATCTGGATAAGATTTATCATTGATTTTTATTGCTGGCATGTGTGCATTAGCCGATCCTCTTTTATGCTCTGAATCGCCCATCAATCAGCTTGTTTACCACTTGCTACTATACTCTACATTAGTATATTGCAATTTGGTACACTTCCCTTTATAAGTCTGGAAACTGTAAGTCTTCATTCGATGGATTCTTAAAGGCTATTCATATGCGAATCCTTACTTCCTTCCTCTAATACAATAGTTTGGTGACATAGAGTGATATTTTTGAAAATCGCCAAACATAAAGTGGTTCAATTAATTCAAGGGGATTTCCAGTTACAAAACTTATGGAGGGGAGTGTTACTAGAGATTTGTTTACGCTGGATTAGTATTTTATTTCTTAGAAGAATCGGTTAAAATTCAAACAGTAGAACTCACTCTCGATACCCTTGACGACATCAACACGAACTAGTGAATCTTTAAAGAGCCCTGGAATCTTTAAGTATTGTATTACCATTCAAATTACCCAACCAAATTACAATTTATGATGAATTCTAGTTCCCTTTACCATACTTAACAATAAAACAATACACCATCGTGTGCAAATGGCACTATAGGTTTAGTAACTATATTGAGTAGCACTTAGACTAAATAAATGTACATAGGTAAGTCATCTGATATACTTTCAGCCGAAATAAATACAAATATAATTTTGCCGGTGTCAGTGAAAGACATAAAATCAATTAAGTTTTTCTTGTAATCGTATTTGATTGGCGGGAGATTGTCAGATAATAATGCTTTAGACTCGTCTTCTTGTCTTCTGGGAATGATAGTTGTTTTCGAGGTTACGCTGTCGAAGGAACTCACGTCGTCAATTAAAGTCACAGAGACAGTGTAACATGACAATTTTGGGCGCCACTGATTCCAGTAATGAATTTAAAGCTATGGTATGTTCGAAGTGATAATACTTCAGATTCTGGATTTTTAGATTCATATAGTAAAATGCTAGAATTGAATGCTCGATGTAACATATACAGTACTACCTTGATTACTTACCACACCAATTGGTTTTTACTTTAAGATATAGCCCACTTCGAACCCATATATAGAACCCATATATAGCCCATACCGAATCGCCATTGCACAACAAGGGGGGTGGCGCATTCAAGTTCGAAAATATGTCCCAATTTTTCTGGGTCCATCTTAGAGGGGTATGACACCCCCCCCCCCCCCGAATCCGCCATTGCATATGGAGAAGTGATACTCTCTTATAATAGTAAAAATGCAACTAATTGGTTGAAAGCGCATCGTTGATGTTCAGATGGAGATTTCTTACCTGCGTTTTTTGCATCGATACAGTCGAGTGCTTCACTCTATGCAAGTATCAAAGCTTTGAAATGGAGATTGATTGAGAAGCAATTGTAGCTTTCAATATCAACGGTTTCAGCCTTGGCCACATATATCGTATTGGATAGTGATAAAAAGCTAGACGCGGAAATCAGTTCATTGAGCGAGCAGTGTGTTCAGTTCGCTCTCTGAGTTTGTATTGAGAAATAGGACTGCTCTCACAGATGCACTTAATCAGTTTGGATGAACAATTCAACCGGTGGAATACATGGATTTGATATAAAAAAGAATGGCTGATTGAATTGAATCATTTAGATCTATTGATATGCTTTATTGATCTGAGAATAACATTACCGGGATAGATGAGACGGAGCAATATAACCACAAATCGTCTTCTATTTTCGTTTAACTACTTAGCCAAACTACGTAGACCTTACCAGATAAAATGTTCAATGTGGATGTACTGTGATGACAAAACAAAGGATTTACTCGCTCTATAAATGAAAACATAAAAGACGGCAGATTTCATAAGGAATGCAAGTATTGTATGAGGTACGGTTCTCTCGCCTCGGCTTAATTTAGTCACAGCTGCATTTGAAATGTCATGTAGTTTCTCAGGTGTGGCTTGTTGTGCTTGTTGCAGACTAGATCACCTCATCCATCGGCTTGAGTAATGCACAATTAATAGAGCTACGTGACTAAGGATTAAAAGGGGAATATCTAGATCTAGAAACGCATACGCAAGTACTCTAACACAAACGGAAACATTTTCTTGCTTTTGATGGATATCATGCTTTCATTATACGAATTGGCAAACAAAGAATTAATGCATTCATTGTATCAATATTAGAATGTTATGGTTTTGCTTTTTTAGCAAATAACGTAATTGAATGGATTAATAACGATTTGTACTTAGACCAATTGTTATATACCATTCGATAACCGCAAACTCATTAAGCGATACTCAATGTTTAGACGACTGTAGACGTCGTATCGTGGACAGAATGCTTCAATGAAATATATATGTACAAATGGTATGATATGAAAATTTAGGATAACATTACAATTATACACAACTCTAAAATATGGGTTGCCAACAAACTAAAACTAAAGTAATCGAACCGGGGACAAAACAAAATGGTGCTCAAAATGGGGGAGGAGATTTGAACGAACCAGCAGCCCCTCCACCTACCGACGACAGGCTCCCTTTGAACGCTAGGCAAATCTTTAGGCTCCAAAAGTCATGGAAGGCCATCAAACGCAACATGGAAGACACGGGCGTAGAAATGTTTATACAGTGAGTCTATTTTAATTTTTGAAAACATTTATTCATTCATCTAGATTTCCCATGGGTTCTCCCTAATGAACTTTCTAATATGAATCGACATATATTGGCATCGTATCTATGATTTAAAGTGTATGATAAAAATAGCTACGTTGACCAAAGTGTTCACTTCAGGCGAGTCCATTTAAAGTAGGGTGTGCGTTTTCAGACAATGCCATCAGGTTAATGTTTCTAAATATTCAGTTTCATGTGTATGGTGCAATGCTGTGTTTTTGCCCGTGTCCGAGCACTGAATTACACTTTTTACTCGAGATTTTTCGACCACCTCTTAGTACACTAGGCCACTCCTTTACTGATAAAAAAGACTGATACATTCCTGTGAAACCCCTCTAACCAATGACACATACAAAACTGTTTGAGTCAAGTTTACTAGCGTACATTCAACCGTGAACAGTCTACGATTGTCACATTGTGAACAGATGCCCAACATATGTAAAATACATGTACGATGGTACTTGGATATGTAAAACATATGGAATATTTGTTTTAGCCATCTTCTCATACCCAAATGGGTCAAACTTTGGTTTCACCTTATCTATAGTCCCTGACTACTGACGTTGGATCACTCAATATGATTTCTCATACACTTTATCCAAAGATAAAATGTCATATGTACCTTTTCCAACAAAATGTGAAGGACGTTTTGGCACCATGATAATGGAGAATCGATACCAAATTATTTTAGACATGCTATGACCGAAGAATAAGGCCTTTCAATATTTTGACTTCATTTATCATTGCATGACATGCGGAATAAGCAAGCATAATTTCATGAATGCGGCGTATCGTATTCGGTGCTTCGTATAACAGTATAATAGTTCATAATATAAGATGACCCTTAGAACTGTATTATAAAGTAATGGTTAGTGATCCCACATTAAACAACATTAGTTAAATATGGAGACAAAACCCGGGGGGTTCACTGTGTACAAAATTAGGCAGGGGTCCTAGGCTGAACCCTCAGATATCAATATGTTCCCATACCAATCTGTCAAATTTTAATATGTTTCCATACCAACCAAAATCATATAAGACCAATACCATACCAAAAGTCTCGTGAGACTTTGATTGGTCCAAAGTAGAATACTTCCCAGGAAAAAGCTACTATTCAAACATAAGAAAGCCCCAAGAAGGCAGATCTTGAGGAAGATGATCCAAACCAACCTCAAATCAGAGTATGTGATGTAGTACAGATCTCAATGTTTTTTTTGTTTTGTGATTGAGATAGATAATAGAAAATTATAGATATTATCCCCTGAACATCCATGTGAACTCGGAATATATAGAGATTATCCTATATGAGGTTCAGGATATTGGGATTATCCCGAGGCCAATATAATATATCTGCCCGAGGGCCGTAGGTCCCGAGGGTAGATATATTATATTGGCCAAGGGATAATCCAAATATCCTGAACCGACTATAGGATGATCTGTTTATCCCATACCAATCACATTGTTCAATTTGCCAAAGTTCAGAAACTTTGCAACCAACCGTGGAATATTCTTAAAATATTCATGTCCAGTTTTGTATTTCTGTTTCTTTTCCTATTCAAATCTTTGTTTATTAACACCGGTACACTGCTTCTTCCCTTCTTTAAAGCATCAAACAGGTCGAGATTGTCTGCGTTTTTCTCCATTGTCGTTTACAGTATGCGAACGTTACAAAAAAGAACCAATACGGGAACAGCGATTATGACGTAGCGGGCAGATATAGTATATCTGCCCGCTCAGAGCGGGACGTAAAGCTATATCTGCCCGCTGATGAAAATATAAGTTTTTACAAACCGGCTTTATGTACCCGTAACACGTCCAAGTATGGGATAAATGTGTATACTGTGTAATGAAGGTCAATCAAAGGTCAAAACTAAGGTCTAAGGTCTAAACTAAGATTTGAACTCCTGAGATTTTGTAGATGATTTTCAATATCTCAAAACCTAGTTAAAATCGGTCAAGACGGCAAAAAAACTAACGCTAATAGAATACTGATGTCTATCTGTATGCAAAAATTCAGGCAATTTCCTCTGCTTTGATATGTGATTTTAGTCTGTGGGTGCATCATGGATCTTGTCTCTAACAGTTCGTGAAATATTTCCTTTGTACATTGCTTATATATGGCAAGTGTGGTAGTAGTAAAGAAGAGCTTAACGCAGGACAACAAATCATATATATTAGGATAAAAAATATATTACCCGACATTCTTATACAATCGGAAAACCTATTTGATATAATATATTTTCCTAAAAAAACACACCCGTTTAAAAATGTCAATGTTGTCAATATCGAGTTTGGTTATAATGATTAATCACATTTAATAAGTTTATTTAAAGGCACTTGAGAGAAGCCAGTATCTAAATTAGACGCTATTTACTTCTATTTCAATTTACATTTGGGATATGTGAATCGATTCTTCTGGCTTTGTCTTGACTGTAATTGCCATGTTATGACTTCTGATCTTGGTCTACTCTTGGCGCAGATGGTTGAAAATATGTTTTAAGATAGCCTGATAAAAAGCATTTCTAACTCGGAGATATAAATGATGTTGTTGGTTTCACTCAGTGGGTTAAGTAATATCATAAATCGAGTGCCAGTGTTCTAAAAAATACTTGAGATCAATTAATTCACTGTACATTACCCTGTTTAGAGATGGGAGCACTGGGAGAAACTAAAAGAATGCGATGTGTAATTACCGGTTATATGGAAATATAGAAGGTGTGGTAGTACAGTTTCCCCTGTTATAACAGATGGATTTTATGCCTGTATTCGGAATAAATGGCTAAAATGAAAGAGAAGTGGAATTCCCCGAAGATATAATGGCGTGACTTTAACTCAACACGTTATGACAATTAATGGCTCGGGCAACAGCGCCTAATGCTTTTCGTAATAACTAGGTCCTCCCTTTTCCTACCCTTTCTTTTTGGCGACATGGCTATGTCCCTTGATCACGTTATACAAATTTTAATTTGTCAAAAGTAAAATTTTGATTTCATCTGACAGTGAATCGGAGGGGTCATGACGTCAATTTTTGTAGGTACATGACATGTATGTCAGACCACAAAGAAAATTAAAAAAATCGGTTGCCAAGCTTATGGAGGGGAATGTATCATCACATCGAGTTTGCTGTTATTTAATAAATCATTGTCAGCAAAACATATTTATACCATCTCACATCTGTCTTTGGAGAATATCATTTGTAGATTTTTTGTTGAATCGCAATACAATTTGATACTAAACCGACATGATTATTATTAACTCGAAACGGGTTTTTAATCGTAAATATAAGAAATATCAAATTAAGATAAAAAAGTGAAGATTCTTCAAGTTAGTTGGTTGAATTGTTTTTTTCTTTTCCTAATGTCAATCTATACTTTGGAAAATGCCCGCTCGGCTGTCGACCTTTACTCCAATATGCCTATTAGCGCTAGACTTACAATATAGCACGTCAAGTTCTGCAAACGAACTGGCGTTGTATTAATATACGATTTTCTTAGAAATGAATTGTGTTAAGGCGTATCAGTAATCATTGTTCCAGACCCGTCACTTTATGCTGACTTATTGATTTTGCCTTTTCAGATTGACCATCACAGAACGATGTTATGAATAGGCCTTTGTAATCACTGAAATAAATCAGGTGAACTATAATAATTACTAAATGGAATGTTGATTTGATATGGAATATTAAATCAGTATCATTTTAAATCGATACTTTTGTACTATCAGTTTCATTTGAATAACGCGACAGAACACTACATGCTATCTGAATTGCGGAAATTTCAATTTTGATAGACACCTCATGGGCGTAGCCAGGGGGTGCGATGGGTGCGCATCCGACCCCCTCACATCCCCACGAAAGAAGAAAAAAAGAAATTTTGTAAAATTGTTGAAAAATAAATTATAGTTTTAAGAATGCACCATATACAGTGTAAATTCTAAAAATTCTCTGTACACCCCTTTTTATGGGCTCACTTCGCTTACAGAAAACTCGTACCCCTCAATTACTGGCTCAGCCAATTCCGCTACTGCTGCTTTCAGCTAGGTCTAGATACCTGTAGACCTGAGGTAGGAACAACTGAAACCGTTTGAATCGACAAGATATATAGACAACACTTCGAATCATGAAATAGTTTTCACCAAAGTATGATGCATGTGTCGAAACTAAAGCAATAAATAAAAATTGTCTTTTTTACAAAACCATCGTATTGATAAGTGAAACATAGAAAATGCACGAGCCCAAAAGCCGTATGCAAAACGTGTTCCAATCACGTGACGAGATGACATGTTTTTCTGTTATTCCTCTATGATCGAAGCATAGTATTGAATTAGTAATTAGTAATAAGCATAGTAATGAAGTATTCATGACAAAATTCGAACGTTTCATGTGTTTTATCTTTATTATTCATCAGAGTCTGTCAATTTTCTTATTAACATGCTATAAAGTTCAGCAGGTGCCGATAACATTATGGCGGGTGTCATCTGCAACCTATATGGATGCGACAATTCCATTGTATGTAAAATGCTTTAATACGATCCAATATTGTGAAACATTGAAATCTTCGGATTACTTATGAAAAACGAGGATTTTCGGTACCATAGCCATAAGCCACGTGTAAGCTCCATATGTCTCAATTTTTTTGCATAGAAATGCCATTGCAATAAAAAATACATGACCATTTTCCAAACTTAAGACCACCGTCACAAAAAGTCAAATAATTGAATCGACATACTTTTTGTAAAATCATTTACACATAAGATTATAAAGTAAAATATAAAGTCTGCACATTTCAATACTTATTGTTCTGATAAATCTGGATTTCTTGAGTTTTGGTCTTGCTGTTCTGAATTTTGCCAGTATTTTGGCCGAAAATGCCAGCCATTTTTAGGTCAATCTTCATTTGGTTCAATAATGAAATTAGCGCCTATCCCTACACGGGTATGCCTCTTTTTATTAATTTGAT